ACCTGAAGGCTTCGCCGTGAAAGGCCAGGAGCACAAGGTTTGTAGACTGCGCCGTGCACTCTACGGACTTAAGCAAGCGGGGCTTGCCTGGTGGCGCACACTTGCTGAGTCTTTAGAGAAATTAGGCTGCAAACGTCTAACTACCGATGCTGGCATCTTCTTATTCAAGGAGAAGGATGGCCGCATGGTAATTATTGTCGTCTATGTTGACGATGCCTTGTTCTTTGGCAAGGACAAGTCCCTCGTGACAGATGTTAAGTCACGATTCATGAAGAAGTGGGAATGCAGGGACCTTGGTGATGTCAAGGAATTCCTACGCATGCGCATTACAAGGCAAGGCCGAGAGATTCACCTCGATCAGATCACCTACCTTGATAAAGTGCTGCAGCGTTGTGGCATGCAGAATGCAAAATCTGCGCCAACTCCTCTCCCTGCAGGCTATCGACCTGAGCCTCACAATGGCCCGGTCAATCCTACTCTTCGTAGCCGGTTCCAAACCGTGATCGGTTCCTTGCTCTACATTATGCTTGGAACTCGACCGGATATCAGCTATGCAGTTACCAAGTTAGCGCAATTTGCTGCTAATCCATCTCAAGCCCATTTAGATAAAGCGCTGTATATCTGCCGCTATCTAATCGGGACTCGTAATTACACACTAGCTTTTGATGGTGCTAGTGGACTTGGTATTACTGCGTGCACTGATTCGGACTGGGCATCAGATCCCAGTACCAGGAAGTCCCAAACCGGCTACTTCCTTAAATTAGCCAATGGCATATTCAGTTGGCAGTCGAGAGCGCAGAAAACTGTTGCGCTATCCTCCACTGAAGCCGAGTACATGGCGCTCAGTGATTGTAGCCGCCAATGTGTATGGGTTAGACAACTCTTTGATGAGTTAGGCTACCAACTCGGCCCCATTCCTATTTGTGGTGACAACCAAGGATCTATATTCCTTGCATCGAATCCTGTCACCGAGCGAAGGTCTAAACATATTGACATTCGCTATCACTATATCAGGGAAGTCATCGAGCAGAAGAAAGTTGAAGTATTCTACATCGATGGCGAGAATAACCCTGCCGACATGTTCACTAAGAACTTAGGACATGTCAAGTTCCTGCGCTTCAGAGCGCAACTTGGACTTAGGTTCTACAAGTAATCTAAGTCAGCCCAACGCTTGCGTGCGCGATTACCCACGGCACTTAGCGAGGGGGAGTGTTGAACTAGGCGCTGACTTAGCTGCCAGGTTCTACAACGTACCAGAATGTACCGGAACCCTCTGGAACATTCTGGTATATTCCATTATTGTACAAGGGCACGGAGCTCATGTGGGCCAGTGACATCATAGGTGGAGCTCAGTAGGATTATAGATATTCCACGTAGCTTAATCAGCCTATGGGCCACTGTGTATATAAACCCTGCAGCTCTGCTGCCTAATGACAAGGGTCGTTCATACGAGCTTTACCAGTAGCATTAGCATCCATTCAATACAGGTGAGTTGTGTAGGGCGCACTGTGCGTGCTGCTGCCTCCATAACTCTTCATCACAACGCAGAAGTCTGAGACGTCACATTGACAAGCTGGTTGTTCAAGTCTTGCACGACATCGGACGTGACATTGGACGGGATATTCAGCCGAAAACCTTTAGTATTGCGGGAGAACGTCACTTCTTCGAGGAGATTGTTGAAACATGAGACGTATGGGTCTGACTGCTGAATCCCTCTAGGATCAAAACCGATTATATCATATTGATCTTGACGAAAAGAACGAGGTCAGCAAGAAATATCGCAGCCTCTTCGGGCAACACAAGGTGCATACCCTTTAGGACAGCTGACAGATTTTGGCCCATAACGAAGTTCGCTTCAGAACCAGACACACCTGGGTCAATGGTAAGCTTTAAATTTGAACAAGACGCCGATTAACGTCACCTGGACCTCCGGGATTTATGAACAAGCTCCCAAGCCTTGAAAAAAAAAACATGATAAGATGGATTCCTTCATGGGAAACAGGATGCCCACCGATTTGTAGTATTGGACGCCGGAAGTCGGTTCACAAATATTGTGGCCGTCCTCGGGTCCGTATCGTTACTGTAGTCCAACGGGACGGAGATGTTTGCGCATTGGAAGTTGTCCAGGCCGTTGCCGCAAGAACCCCACTGCACGGTCTGGTTGGCCAGACGAGCATGCAAACTGGTCGCATTGGAAAATAGCGATGCAATCTCGTTGTTAGTGCCGAACGGGTTCAACGGTACCCCGCCAGCGGGGGTGAAGAGAGAAAGATAAAGGAGGAGATACAATCCGTGCAGAAAATGCATCGGGGTAACGCGTGAACGAGGATTGGAGAAGTCCGAGGTGTTCATGCTCTTCATTGGTGAATGGAGAATATGGGCTCCGTTGCAGGTGCTTTTATCCAAGGCCAGAGAACGAGGCACTGGCGCTCGCAGTTAGCAGTAGCCACGACCTGTGTCAGGAGGCGAATAAAGTGCGGGATTCACTAGTGACTGACCATCATTACATTAGACTGCGCACCATGGCTATGTGCGCAGCCTGGAGAATCGCAGCTGAGTGTTCTTGGGATAGTCTTCATCGTGTTCACGAACGACACCCCTCTAGGAAGCAGTGAAAGCCGGTATCGGGCGCTCCCATTGGATGGTCTTAGCTCCGGTGTGTTTATCGCAGAACTTACTCAGCCTTTGGCATTCCAATGTAGACGCCGTATATAGTGGCCCAACACTGGCAGAGTCCTCGCGTTAACGCAGAGGACGTCCATGTGGTTGTTGAATATCTCAAGTGCCACAGCCCACGTCGCAAGGGAGATGCTGTTGGGTCGGGTTGCTGTCGGATTCGAACTGCTGCGGGCGCTTGTACGGTGCGCAGTATTCAGCACAGCTTGTCTCGGGATCTGTCAATCTGTTGATAAAATATTCGGTGGCAAACGCCCGTAAGAGCGGCAATCCCTGGAGATGGATTGTAGCATTACAAGACGAAAGAGATATAAGGCAGGCTCACCGCCCAAGCTGCTTGCCAAAGGCACTGATCACACCAAGGACTCATGCAAACCCGATGAGGAAGTGTATCTCTGTCCTCATGCTATGATATATGCACCTCCGAACCAGAGACACTAGCAATCACGATGACCCTGGTTATTCTGCCGCGGTGCGTGAAAGTCATTGAGGTAGGTGGACCACCCTCCAGCCGAACCACGACTTCATCTCAAGTCCATTTTTGTCGCTTACCAATGTCCGCTGTGAGTACATACAGACGGGTGACAGCCTGACAGGTACCAGCCATGCCTGCCCGAATCATTGCACCACAGACGAGACGTGACACCAGAACATTCGAAGCTCAGATAGCTGTATGCCCATTAGCTAGAAGCCAGAATGGTTGCGTAAGAACCCTACCTACTGCTCCCCATCACACAGGTCCAGGGAGAGGAGATAGGTGCTTCGAAGACGCCGCGTTCATCGATTCTATCAGACTTCGAGGAATAGCACGGTCAGAATGATCAAGCTTTGAAGACGCCCTACCTCCTCCATATCCGAAGGAAAGCGAAATCAGGGATAATACAGCTAGTATTGCAGTGAATCAACAGGTTATGCAAGGTTATTATACACTGACGGTCTCCAGGAACTGAACTCTATAATAGTCCTTCCGTACACCACACAGCACGCTCGAAGGAACAGAAGGCAGGGTTATTATCATGGCCGCGAAGAGAGCCAGCGCATCAGTAATTCATATCTGCCGGTGACCGCATCAGCATGCATATATCCAGACCCAGGAAGAGATGCACTTACGTTAGCATAGTCACAGCGCTGTTCGGTACAGTACGGAACAGATTGATCGAGAGCCCCTTGTAGAGCCCCCGCCACCCCTCCTCGCGCACAATATTCTTCGTCGTCTGCACGATGCCAGCGTATGTACGAGGCTGAACGGCGCCATCACCCGAGATGTCGTGGCGTTCAGAAAGCAGTCGGCGCTGCGTCTGCAGGCGCGTCCTAACAACTTCGTGTGGGTATGTGACAATCGATGCGGTCATCTTCGAGACGGCGGAGCAGAGGAGGATGGAGCGGCTGCTTAGTGGCTCACGCGAGTTTCCCTCTGGGGGATCGTGCGATCGTTCAGCAACGGGTTACGAAAGAGCGAGAGGGACGTACGGGCCCAGACTTTGCATTTCTCGTATAGGGGAAACTGGACGGCGACGTGTGTGATCCCCAGTAGACTCGGCAACAACCCCCTATAGAAAGCACGGATACCTTCGCTCCGATAGATAGTCAAAGCCGCGTCTAGTGTATGGCGGTACCTCTGTTCATCAGCAGATTGTGTCTATTCATCCACACCAAACTCGCATCAGCTTCCAACGGATACGCACATAGGCAACAAAGCACCGAGCAGACGAACCATAAAGCGGGTTTTGATAACCCAGAGCGGGTTGGTCGCGGTCGTGCTGATCGCACCGGCGGTCATGGCAGATAATATGTGCAACGTCCAGGGATGCTCACGCATGGCAGGCTGGTACCCCTTCGCATGCGGTGCCGGGTATATAGGGCCCTTCTGCTCGCCCGCGCCCCCGCCAAAGCGGTTCTTGATGGTGTCGTACACGGCGAAGTAGATCGCCCATGTCGGGAGGTAACCGAGAACTGTCGGCCCAAGCCCGCGATAGAGACCCTTTATCCCATCACGCTTCAGGATCGCTTTACATGTGCCTGCGCCGAGAAGAAAGCAGGGTTAACTGGCTGGACACCAATGGCTGAGGTAAAGCAGACGCACCGATGACCCCTAGGTATCCATGCGCCCCGTGTGCCGTCTGTTGAGCTTGTAACTTTGTTTTGATGACATCCAAAGGACAGGTAGCGATACTGGCCACAAGACCGCCCCCAGCCCCCGCTGCCCGTCGACTCGCATCAGACGACCAATGCCCGCTCTATGATGTTCGTCGCAGCTCACCAATCATGCTGTTGGTCGGCCCATTGGATGGCATAGCTCTCTGCCCCTACAGCGGGCAGAGACGGACAGTATCTCGGGCAGAACGCAGTGGATTAGTATACACCAGAACAAACTTAGTGTAAAGCCGGTCATAAGCCCATAATGTAGTCATTCTCACGTGGCTCGAGACGCCCAACTCCGCGTCTCCCCGCGTCCAGGGCAAAGGAAGACGCCGACTAACTCCGCGACATACAGCTTATTTTGAAGTCAACGGGACGTATTCACAATGAAACAATAATGATCTTTACTAACTATGACATGACTGGTATTACATTTGGAATTCGAGAAAGCCAGACAAAATCGTCTCAATTCAGACTAGCCGCTCAGAAAGTAGCAGGTGGACCAACCTGGAGGCAGGACTCACATCACTCAGGTGAGACACATCTTGGCTCCAGAATCCGATGAAGCCTAAACGGTTTTGAACAACGAAGAGCACCGAAGGACGTGCATGACTTGAGACCGTTGACCCGAGTGCAAATAACCACACCGAGGAGATCTACAACGCTGAATCCGTCCGTATACATCAGACGTACAGTCTCAGACGGCAGTAAATAGCGCAGACCCGGGGTCGTTCGAGGTATCATCCTGAAGCGATATATTGTTCGGACTGAGCAATATGCCGCCACGGGATATACATGTATATCAGGAATACAAGACACATACCACAGCCACCTATAGTTGCAAGTCCCAAGGAAGAGATCACCAGGATATTCAGAGGACATGCTGCGCGCTACTCAGCCGCATGGCGAAGTCGTTCATCGCAGCGCCCAGCCGATGATGTGCCCTTCCAGTTCCCCCCACAGCCATGGGTCATCATTTGCGGTTATAGCAGCTGGTATTGACAGGATTATCGGCACGGATGATTGTGAACGCAGGCTGAGGGAGAAACCAGAAGCGAGGAGGGCAATCTCAACCAGGAAGTATGTCGGGTCCCGAGCGAGCTTGTCACCCATGGAATGGACGACATTTTCTTTCGCACCTTGGCAATGAAGTTCTTGGGGTACGCAATCTATTTGGACGCCATGAGTAGATAAAACTGGAGCTTGTAACATTGTAAGCTCTCTTTGTTGTCGTAACACAGAGCAATAAGTAGCTGAAGCATCGAGAGCTGACGAGAGTGTACAAGATAACGTAGCAAGGACCGTGACGCGCGAGGAGCGTCAAGTTGCTACATTTCCCGTAAAGGCAGGCGATTTGCCACAAATAGGTACTATACAGCATGAGACGGCATTACCCGAGTGGCTTTCCCCCTCGCCGACCGCTCAGCCACGCGAGGCCATAGAGTAAAGTCAGCAAACCCCGTCCCTCGTCGTCCATCAAGATGGTGAAGAGTACGTCCCGTCTTTGCCTCACCGTGTTCACGTCGCTGACCCTATGTCCGCACAGTCTACAAGCCCGGAAAAGTGAGTACTTGGGAGGCGTAATCAAGGAGAGAGATCTGAACGAAGGATCCCGTGTGTAGGTTGCCATCGTGCTGCAGGGCCGCCAGGCCGGCAAGAAGGTCGTCGTGATCAAGCAGAACGACGAGGGTACGAAGGAGCGGCCCTACCCGCACGCCGTCGTCGCCGGCATCGAGCGCTACCCCCGCAAGGTCACGAAGCGCATGGGCACGAAGAAGCTGCAGAGGCGGAGCAAGATCAAGCCCTTCATCAAGGTCCGCATCCTCTTCCCCTGACTTCTCCATCGGTGCTGACTAGCGGTACACGCAGGTGGTCAACTACTCGCACCTGTTCCCCACCCGTTACGCCCTTGAGCTCGAGGCGCTCAAGGGCTCTGTCTCGACCGACACTTTCCGGGAACCCACGCAGCGCGAGGAGAGCAAGAAGAACATCAAAAAGCTGTTGGAGGACAGATACACCAGCGGGAAGAACCGCTGGTTCTTCCAGCCATTACGGGTGCGTCTCTTCAGCTGCGTTATATCAGTAGAGTTGCGGTTGATGGGTGCCTTAGTTCTGAGGGGTTGCTGCTGTTCGATGTTTTGTGTACCTCGGTCGTTCGACACGCACATGTATTTTCATCTCGGGTATGACGCATGCTCCAATATGAAGCCTATGCCCACTCCTTTCATCGGAGCTTTGGCTGTGCGCGTAAGGCAATGCTGCGTAAACTCTATACTGGAAATGCTAGGCTGAAAGGGTGGTTTGGTTACGTAGATCTGCGCAGACTTCACGCACAAGCCCGTTGCGCTCATACTCCCTGCTCAATGGGTCGCTGTATCTTATGCAGGAAGTACGGGGTTTAAAGCCGATCCCACTGAGTCGTAACTCTTGAGGTAATGGCAAAGCAGTGATGAGTCCCCCTTTGTATATATTATCATTGAAAAGCGAAAGCAAGTCGAAAGCCAGAGACTACAGGGGTGCACATTATCTTACGGAGCGTCAGGGAATGGCGTGTAAGAATATAACAAGGAAAGCAGCAGACAAAACACGGCGACGAGGGAAGACACACTGGCTACCACTTACGACTTCGTCAACTCCCAATTCTTCACGATAGCTCTGACAGTGATATTTGCCTCCGCAGAGGAAGGACGCCGAGTCGGGTCCTCCTGCGTCATGCGGTTCAGCAGATCCAGATACTCCGGCAGCGACTCAACCGTTTCGCGCGCGACTGGATCCTCATCCTTTATCGTCCATATGTAAGTCAAAGGTGTGTGGCATGTATTGAACGCGCATCGCTCACCCCCAACGCTTCATCCAGCTCAAATTGGAGGACTCTCCCGAGGTTGTATACGTCCGCAGCGAACACGTCATAGGAATCGCCCTCTGCGGTCTGTTCCGGCGCCGCAAAAACAGAGGGAGGCCGGGAGTCGCTTGGGATTGTGTGGCTTTGGCCGGGTTCGAAGAGGGTGGAGCAACCGAAGTCGATATATGCCATGCGGAAGTCGAAGGTGCTGTGGAATAAGAAGCCTGGTGGAGGGCCGTCGTCGTCATCGGTTCCCCACCGTCGCCAATCGCTGTGATTCCACAGGATGTTTTCGCGATGGATATCCTTTTGATTACTTCAATGGATAGCGTTTCCACGAGTAGAGCGATTCTTACCCCGTGCCCAATCAAGTTGTGATGCATAAACGCCAGGCCCTATATAGGTGTCAATTAGCGCAACCTTAGAACCAAGAAAGCTCACTTCAAGGAGTTGCGCCACAAGCTTCAAGCGCGACGGGATAGAATCCGGATGAGGCCAGTCCCAGCACCTTCCCCAGTAAGGCTGGATGACGAAGACATAGTCGCCCACTGGAATAAGGGTGACTGGAATAGTGTGATTCCGAGGGTCTTTACGTAGAGCCTGGCTGCAGAGGTGGCGCAGCACCTTGTGCTCTGAAGAGTCTCGCTGAATTGCTTTTAATACCACCTGTCGACCCACATGATCAAGCCCAAGGTAGATATTAGCACGCTATGTAGAGGACAAGGACGTCACATTAACATGGTACTTCAGGATCCACTGAACACTATTACTTGTTGGAAGAACTGAGGCATACGAAGAGACGCAACATTCTCCCAGTCTGGTCGGTGGACAAAGTCTTCGTCATCTTGAGGGAAGAACGGATTCAATGCTGGCTTCTTTGGTATTCGCTCAAAGAGCCTGGGATCATCGTATGCGGGTGCCCCCAGCAGAGTGTATCCATGTTGGGCAAGACACGACTCGAAGTGCTCCCATGGCTTTCGAAAAAGACTTCGGTCCTCGATATCCTCCCAATTATTGAGAGTTTCGGGTAACGGTGGTGGGGTATAATGTGCAGAAGTCTCCTGCACCATTTTGCGCTGGGAAGCGTTGGGGAGCAGGTCCAGGATTTTGGTGAACTGTTGACTTACTTGCCTGAGATTAGTTCTTAGCTTCGCTTAGACGGTCATGCCGTTTTGCTGATATAGCGTTCTGAAATGGCGCTCTAGTATCGATGACTTGGGTGGAGCACAAAAAGAGCGCGTGCAGTCGCAAGCTACTAAGTGCCTGAGGCCTGAGGCCTGAGGAGCTGAGTCGCGCCTGATTAGTAGAGACGCGTCCTTGTCAACAAAGAATGCCAAATACATACGACGCGACGCGGTCTCGTGACTTCGTCACTGGTGCTCGGTCGCGGTACGGTTGCTCTCTCGGAGTTGAAAACATATCCAGCTTCGATGTCAGCCTTTATGACTGTTGGGTACTTGCAAATGGAGCCAGCTCGCTCGTGCCAGTTTGCATCCATCTCGACTCGTGCGCACAGAACTCCCATGACCAGATATGACACGCAGCAGCTGAGAAAGCCCCCACAGGATATCGTCGGATGGACTCTGAGGTTATGAACAGCCATCTGCATACAGCCATGCATCTGGCGACAACAGAGTCGCGGGCCCTGATGGGAGAGGACAGCAAATATATGATACAAATAATACAAAAGTCCTGAGCACCTCACACCCGCACAGAGCTCCCTGAACTTGAAGCACCGACGGTCTTCGGCATCTTCTTATCGCCAGATGCCAGTTGCTCAAGATCGGCAGGTTTGAAGTAGTGGGGAGCAACTGTAGGCAAGACGGCATGTCAGGGACGAGCTCGTTTTGTAACCGCACAGCACTGACCTTCCATCAGCCACTGCGGCTTGATCTCCATCACCTGACGTAGGTAAGACTTGGACGTCATGACCAGCTCGTAGTAGAGGACCGTCTTGACTGGGGGTTGGTGCTGGAATAATGAGGATGATGGGTGAATGTAAACCGTCTGGTTGGTCTTCAACGTCCGGTACGAATCACCACTCTTCTGGAGCTGAGCCTATTGATATTGTCAGTACAACATAGGGCCTTAAGATGCGGAAAGACGTACTGTATTGTAAAAATACCCAGCCGTGATAGCCTTCTGAATCGGCGTAATGTCATTCGAGTTCGGATTGCTCTGCACGACAATCTCCACCCGCTCGCAAAGCCCCGCGAGCTGGTCTCGAATGTCTCGTGCCCGGCTGAGACTCTTGAATTGCAAGAACTGCTCGTAACAGAACTGTTGAGAGTAATTCGTCTCTGCCCACTGCTCCCAAACGTTCAACAGCGTAAAGTGGTCGCCGCCAGGGCGGACGAAGTTCTGCCGTGCTTGGTCCGCGTGCAGCTTCTTGTCCTTTGGTCGGTAGAATATCGAGCCCGACTCCGAAAGCATGGCAATAATGGTAAGAACCTACGGACACAAGCCATCAGATCATAAAATCCATTCAACCAGTGAAAACAAGGATTGCATACCTCATCCGTACAAGAGTAGTTTTCACTGGCGATGATCGCCTTGGACAGCATAGGATCAACAGGGAACTCGGCCATCCTCCTTCCAAGTTTCGTGAGCTCTCCCCTGTCATTCAGCGCTCCGAGGGCGTAGAGCAGCTCCAGTGCCCTCATCAACGTCTCTCCTGGTGGCGGATCCATGAACTCGAAGCCAATCAAGTCGTTGATCCCCAGCGACTTCAGCAAGAGGACAACCATCCCAAGATTCGTTCGCTGAATTTCCGGTACGGTGTTCTCTTCGAGCTCGTTATTAAATGCCCACTTCGTATAGAGCCGGAAGGCTTTCCCGGGCCCTACACGGCCGGCGCGTCCAGCACGTTGATTCGCCGAGGCACGAGAGCACTAGTCCGAAAATCTGAGCGACAGATGCTATTGACGAAATGTGAAGCACTCACTGGTACCACAACAAGAGAAGACATGCCTGTCCTGGGGTTGTAGGCGTTCTGCTTCACAAAGCCGGGATCGATGACAAAGACGACACCGTCGATGGTAATCGAAGTTTCAGCGATATTTGTAGCCAACACAACTTTCCGAGCGCCTTCCGGCGTGGGTTCGAAGATCTTTGCCTGCATGTCGCTCGGAAGATTCGCGTAAATTGGACAAACAATTAGTTCCGCAATCTTGTTTCCAAGGGCGCGTGCCGTTTCTTGCAAGTTCTCTTGTGCCGCTTCGATCTCATCTTGACCCTGGAGTGATAGTGTGAGACGGCAGAGTGACACGACAATTAAAGGCTACGTACCGTGAAGAAAACTAGGATGTCACCCTTTGGTTGAGTAGTGTGGATCTGGAAGACCGTGGTAATAGCAGCATGGAGGTAATTCGCTTCAGGTTGAGGAGTGTAATGGATGTCCACAGGATACCTTCGACCAGGGACTGTATCATTCCGTTAGAGCAATACTGGTGCCAAGCACAAAAATACCTACTATAGAAGATAGGCGCCTCGTCGAAATATTCACTGAACTTTTCTGCATCCATGGTAGCACTTGAGATCAGAAGACGAAGTTCCGGCCTGAACCGCGCAATATCCTACGACGCACGTCAACACCCTATGCAAACGATCAGAAAACGCGGCGCCCACCTTAACAAGGGCAAAGAGAATATCCGTACTCAACGTCCGCTCGTGCGCCTCGTCGATGATCAGCGCGGAGTACCCCGCCAAGTCCGGCTCCGTTAGGAACTCGCGGAGTAACATCCCGTCGGTCATGTACTTGACCACGGTCTTGTCGCTCGTGCAGTCCTCGAACCGGATGGAGTACCCGACTTCGTAGCCTACCTTGGTGCCCATCTCCTCGGCGACACGCGCCGCGACGGACATCGCTGCGACACGGCGCGGCTGGGTGCACCCGACCTTCATGCCACCAGCGGTGTAACCGGCTTCATGAAGGTATTGTGGCAGCTGTGTTGTCTTGCCAGACCCGGTTTCAGCGACGACGATGAGGACCTGATGCTCTTTGATGGCAGCCAGGATCTCCTCCCGGAACTTGTAGATAGGCAAAGACTTTCGCGTTTCCTCGATCGTCTTGGCTGAGGGTAGAGGCAGTTAAGCGTATTGTAGGGCCAGAAAGACAGCGGCACGTACCCCTCTTTTCAGCTTCTTCGATTTGGGCTTGTAGCAGACGGTCCTTCTCACTCATGGGGGTACCGCCCATAGTGGCGTCCATGACGAACTTGATCGTCTGACTCTCGTCAAAGACATAGTCGTAGTCCTCGACAAGCTCAGGCTTGTCCATCGCGCCCGTCTTGAACGCGCTGTGGCTCGTCTGCTTCGCCTCCCACTGGTCAACGTCAGTGACGAACTGGTCATCCTTGGGCTTGGCCTCCTCATACCGCTTGTACAGCACGTTCTCCTTCTTCTTCTTGTCAATCTTACCCTGCTCCGTAATGTAGTCCTCGGGAAGCTGGTACCCCTCGACCTTGTCATCGATCTTCAGGCGTTCCTCGACGATCCTCAGCAGCTCCTTCTTGCGCTCCAACTCCCGCCGCTCCCGCTTGGAGATCTTCATACCGCGGAAGAGCGCCTCGTCGTCCGCAATCTCCTGGCGCAGCAGCTCGATCCGCTGCATCTCGCGCTTCGTCAGGTACTCCTGCCGCGAGTGCTCGCGCAACGACGGCATTGCCTGCTTGCGCGCCTCCGCGTCGTCGGCAAGCTGCCGCCGCCGCGCTGCCTCCGCCGCGTCGCCCGCCTTCGATGAACGGTCTTCGATGACCTTTTTCGTCTTCTCGCGGTCCCGCTCGCGCACGCGCTGCGCGAAGGCGTCCCGCTCTCGCTGGTCCTCCAGTCGCTCCCGCTCCTTCCGCGCCTCCTCGTCCTCCATCAACTCCAGGCCATCGGCGTCCTCCTCCCCTCGTTCATCTTGCCGGCCCCCCTCCTCCTCGCCCTTCCACCGCTTCCGTGTCTGCTCCTCCTCGTCACTCTCCCACTCCCGAGCGTCCGTCTCACGCTTCCGGGTGTGTCTCTCCTTCCTGTCTTTGATCTTGCGCTCTGAAGGCTTCAGCTCGACGACGTCTCGCGAAACATCGTCGTCCAGCACGAAGGAGTACTTCTGTGTGCGCAGAGCCTGGCTCTCCTTCTCGGCCTGCTTCCTCGCGAGGTCATCTGCTTTCTTGTGCTTAGTCTTCCGTGGTACGCGGCTGTATACTTCCGTGACAAAGTTCTGTGCCGCGGGGGTGGCCGGTAAACCGTAAGCGCTGAGCGTGGAGAATAACGATTCGGCACTCTTCGCAGAGGATGCTAGCAAGTAACTTCAGCATATATCGGAGACGCAGGTATGGTGATACATACCTGATGCAATGATATAGTCGATTATAGCCTTGTCCGAGAGACCGAAGAACTGTGCAAGCTGGGTTAGACTGCGCCTTCCAAACGGAAGTCCTCGCTGCTTACCTGGATAACATTATCGCTGATATATGTGTGTAGATCGGACGACATATAGGTGAAGACAGCGTGGAAGGGGGGCTGCAGTACACAGCGCCCAGCTGCAGCCTAGGTGAATTGGCGGTGTATAAAGGCAAGGGAAACTAATTACGTAAGCCATGTTTGTGGCTTGATTGACAGCCTTGTAACTCATTTTGAGTCTGGAAAAGTCATCTTACAAGTGTGACAAGAGGACCCTCTGAACTTTCTAAACGCATCATTATCGATTCAGAGACCTCTCAGCCAAGGGCATACTCATTCGGCAGCAACCCGGCGAAAGATTCCAATCATTTTCTCAGGGTCCAATAATCGGATAATTCTAATCAACAACCCCCCTGAGAGCAACAACCCCTCAGCAACCCATGCCATTATCCAGCAACCCCGGTTGTCCACCAGTCGTCACATGTGACATCAAGCTCTACCAGTCCATGAGACTTCACTCTATGTACATAACTACATATAAAATTTTTGAAAATTAGGCTGAGGCTCTCCCAGTTAGCGGTCAGAAGCTACTGCTGACCATGGACCATGCTGCATGTGATACAATGCATTACTGTATGAATGAAGGGCCCACTGTGACCACAAGTAAGTACCATGGCAGATCTCCATCCAGTGGCCTGAGACTCAGTGACCCTTGCACGTACACCAATTGAATCTCCCAAAACAATAGACAAACCCCAATATACATAAATCATGCATACAGGGAACACACTGTGATGGATTTCCAATATTAATGGCATGTATGGTTGAGTGGACCTCCCATCTGACTGCATTGGACACACACTATGTGATGCTTGCCTCCGGCTTGCATTTTCATTATTTAACACAAATTACACAATTACACAACCACATCCCCCCAGGCAGACTGGGGTCCATGGGTCCATCCAGCTGATAGGCAGAGGTCCATCATGGACTCCATGGACTTCTCAGATGCTTGAGCAGCTAGTAGCAGCTCCTGGATCTGGACCAGGAGCATTATGTGAGGTACCAGTACTAGGAATGTCTACAAATAGGGCAGTGACAAAAGTGACAAAAACATATTATCTACAGTAAATCAATTCTGGGGGGTTGATGATTTATAAGCAAACAACCCGGGGTTGTTACTTTCAGGGGGGCTGCTGATTAAAATTATCCCCAATAATCTCCCATAATATTATTAATACAGTTGAAGTTCCAGGTCTCTCTAGAGGTCACCTGTATGGTTGTCTCGATGCCTCCTTAACATACGTATGACTTCAAGTTCTCACAGAGTGTGGCAAATAGGGGCTATTTGCGACCGAAATGCGTGACGTCAGTGTAGACGGTCTACTGTAGACGCTCCTCTAAACGATCATAACGGACAGTTCGCTTACAGCAGCTCTATCTTCCACACCACTGCTTTCTTGTCGAATATGGCTGACGTAGAACGGCTGCACTCAAAGGACAAGCGGCCCCATGATAAAGAACACAAGAGCAAGAAAAGGCATAGAGATGAAGTCGAGTCCGAGAGGAAGAAGCGGAAACGCAAGGAGAAGGACGCGAAGGTGCAGATCGTCGACGAGGACCCGGACGACGACGATATGTGGATAGAGAAGAATATTGACATGGACGGGGAGCAGGTGCGCGTGCTACAGAGTCTTACATGGGCATGTACTCATCTAACGTAGCCTTTAGCTACGGACATACCAACCGCGGAGAGCCTCAAGCTCACTTCAAGGGCCATCGAAGAGCCATCTGACCCGCCGCTTCCGCCTCCACTACGGACAGAGACTGCGCTCAAGCGTGATGACTGGATGCTCATGCCTCCGACCGCTCCCTCCGTCCCCACCGTAACTTCAACTGCTCACACACCCAACGGCGACGAGTCTCTGACGGACGACTACGGCGAGCCTGAGCAGAACCAACGTAGACTCGACGGCGGCGTTGACTTCTTCTCCAGTCTGGGTACTGAGAGGAAGAAGAAACCTGCCCCAGAGAAACCCGATCCAGAAAAGGTACTTTCCTCTGCCCCTGCCATCTCACTAACTAACCACTCCACCCAGCCGAAGATCAGCTACCGCGAACTAAACCCAGACATCAACCCCAACGCCGACTCCAGCACCTTTGCCGCGACGCCCAAAGCCATCACCCCCGGCGGGCCCGGCTCGCAGTGGCGCATGATGAAGCTCCGGCGCGTGTACGAGACCGCGGAGGAGGAGGGACGCCCCGTCGAGCAGGTCGCGTTGGAGCGCTTCGACTCGCTCGAGGCGTTCGAGCAGGCGAAGGAGGAACGACGCGTCCTCGACGAGCGCGAGGGACGGCGGCAGGGACGCAGGGACAAGGGCAAGGAGAGGCAGGGCGTGGGGGAAAGCGCGCAGCGATTCATGTTCACGGATATTGCGGGGAGCGGCGCGTCCAGCCGGAGCTCGTCCTTCCGCCGCCCGGGCGGGTTTGACGACAGCAGGCCCGCGACGCCCTCACCCGCCAATGCGGGGAGCCGGAGTCGTACAGACAGGCTGAGGGACCAAGGCGGGATGGGCACGCCGCTCGCGCAGTCGCACACGCCCATCCCGAGCGTGGTGACCCCGCAGGTGGGCGTGCGCACAAGCAAGAGCCGCGCGATGTCGCCGTCGTCGCTCAACCGCCTACAGGCGAAGGTGTTGCGGGCCAAGCTGATGGGGGCCCCGGATGCGGCGGAGCTCGAGAAGCAATATGAGGAGGAGCAGAGGAAGGCGCAGGAAGAGGGAGGCGCGGAGGTAAAGGTGTTGCCGACATTGGATGCCAGGGGCAGGTTGTACGATGTTGGAACTGGGTCGAGTGCGGATGATAGACCACTGGGTCCGGGTAATCGTAAGAAAAGGGAGAAGGTAGGAGACGACATGGTAATGAAGTGACTTGTGTGCTCATCGGCTTATCAGGTGGAGACTCGAGACCCGAAGACAGGAGAGCTTGTCAGGGTCAATGCGGATGATGACAAGCTCACCTTGGGCGAGATGCTACGACAAGAAAGGTTTGGCGCTGGTCCTGCGGACCAGAAGAACCTGGATATGCAGTTTGCGAATGCTATCGCGACTGATGGCGGCTTCCAGGTAAGTTGATCACGATTGCATGATTGTACGATGTGAAGTAATATCTTTGCCAGGACAATATCGACTACTTGGACGAGAACGTAGAGAAGCTGGCCAGGCAGAAGATGCGGTCGGATGCCATGAAGCGGCAGTTCGCAATTCATGGTATGTTATGATGTCAGACCCCTGGCTTTTAGGGCGCGAATCTTGACTTCTGAAATCGCGTAGATTACAAGCGTACTCAGCAAGCTCTCGCGACGTGTCCGTTCTGTTTCGGCGAGGATGACTCGCCGCCTAAAGCCCCCGTCATAGCTATGGGCACGCGTGTATACCTGTCTTGCACTCTGAATGAAGAGTTAGTACCCGGGCACTGTCTCATCGTTCCTATACAGCATCATCTAGCGATGCTCGAGGGCGACGACGACGTCTGGGACGAAGTTCGGGTGAGTGTTGGTTTTCGCACTCTACCAGTATATATTTCTGTGGTACTGATCCATAATCCCTGTTTTCAGAACTTCATGAAATGTCTCATGAAAATGTTCGCCGAGGAGGATAGAGGTGTCATATTCTACGAGACTGTCGTATCTTTCAAGCAGCAAAGACATACGTACATCGAATGTGTGCCCCTGACATGGGATCGGTATGACGAGATACCTGGTTATTTCCGCGTAAGTCTCTGCGCTTGCACGCTATTATCCTTAGGCTCAACCTCGCCATAGGAATCCATCCTTGCATCCGAAGTCGAGTGGTCAACTCATAAGAAACTGATCGACTTCTCTGCGCGGCCTGGCGGCTTCCGGCGTGCCATGGTCCCGAACTTACCATACTTTATGGTCCAGTTCGACCATAAAGGCGAGAAAGGATTCGGGCATGTTATTGAGGGCACGTCAGAAGCTACTGATGCAGGTGAGGATGACGGGGCCCTTGACGAAGGCGCCAAGGGCGGCGGTGAATTCCCTAGGTATGTCTGTGGTGTAGTATTCCACCTTCGAACGAACAGCTGAGGATGTGTTTAGATACTTCGCTGCAGAGATCATTGGGAACCTGCTGGACTTGGAGCCTCGAAGGTGGATGAAGCCCCGAAGGATCGATTTCAGTCAGAATAAACGCAGGGTTGCGGAATTCAGAAAGAATTACGATAAATATGACTGGACTGGTATGATAGGAAAGTCGTAAACGCATCTGTATTCTTGTATGTCTCCACAATGGAACATACATATTAGCTTCTCTGAATTGATTATTGCACTTGCATGTGAATCGGGTAATCGATTACTGACGCATAATGCGGGGTAGTGTGGCGTCTGCAGTACGCGAACACACCAACTGCCCGAAGCTGCTCTGGATTCAGCCGAGCAGGATGTCGTTATAAATGTCATTGCCAATGACTATTTGTTCCGCTCTAACGACCGTTTGGTCTGCTTGATCGTCATGAGTCTCCTACACAGTGCTCGGTTTTCTGCCAACCTCGTCGTAAAGCCGACACGCTCCCTGCTGGCCCAGGGCGCTCAGGCCAGAAGATGGAACTCTACGGTTGCCCCTAACACGACCAAGGACGCGCAGCTGAAGCGTTCCTACTTGTACGGTGCGTCTCAAGGAAAGCCAAATCAAGGAGGAGAATGAATTTGAAGTTTAGTGCCTGCTACGTCTGAAAAGATGCTCCACAAGTCTACCCAAAGCAACTCGGATGTGATTATTTATGACTTGGAGGACAGCGTGCCTCCATCCAAGGCAGACAAGTCGGCTGCGAGACATAGATTGGTATCGTTCATCCGGGTGCGTGAAGATATCACCTCTGCGTCTAGACAGCACTTCCTCACCTTTGGCCCAGAATACGTCCAACGCTGTCTTGCCTCGCCCAGCGCGCGTAGGGGTCCGGGTGAACGGATTGGGAACGGAGTTCTTCCACCAGGATATACTGCAAGTCGTTGGTATACCTCTATCTCTGCTGTACTCCCTATCTGACCTACGCATTCCGCCTCAAGCTGACTATGGGGCCGAACGTGCGGACGGTGTTGATGCCCAAGATCCACTCAGCCTCGGACTTGGATGCAGTTTCGAATGAAATCCACCTCTCACGAATGGGGAGGGTCCGCGACTCTCCGGAATGTAACCTCAACATCATAGCGAGCATAGAGAGCGCGCAAGGCTTATGGAACGTTGGGGAGATTGCAGCGTGGCAGTCCAAGCATGGTGCATCTCTCGGCGGAAGACTCAGTGCGCTCTTGGTAAGCCTCCACGGTCAGTTGCTTAGCTTCGGGGTGCCTGATACGTCGAGCTAGTTCGCCGCAGAAGACTGTAAGTATCTGCACGTCCCTACCTGAGGAGGGATATTGAAGAGGGTACTGTGGTGCAGATTGTGCCGACACCTCAATTATCCGCACACAATCTCGCCAAGAACTATTGTACGCGCGGTCGCGAATCGTGAACGCCGCGAAGGCATTTGGTTTGCAAGCTATTGACATGGTAGTGCGCTCCTTCTCAACATCAGACCTGAGTAGCTGAATCGTTGGTAAGGTATGCGTGAACTACAAGGACCTTGACTACTTGAGGGAAGAATGCGAGGACGGGCGACGTCTCGGATTCAACGGCAAGGTACACAAGGCTCCCTGAGCTGGATCGGTGTGCTTCTGCGCTGACTTCCGCTCCCTTTTCTAGCAAGCTATACACCCCAGTCAAGTCGACATAATCCAGTCGACATATGTACCGACGGAGAAAGGTATGCACTCCCGCTCTCACACCGCATCACGCACTGTCGATGGCTGACCCATGGCCGACTTCTCCAGAAATCCTCCGGGCGGCCAAGATACTACACCAGATGTCGCTCGCGCATTCTGCCGAGCGAGGAGCAGTAGGTATCGAGCTCGAAGGCGGGGGAAAGGAGATGGTCGACGCGCCGATGCTGAAGCAGGTGGGTTGTTTCGATTGACTAGGGAGGACCCACTAACGTCCTTGGATAATGGCAGGCAATCAACACGATAAATATCGCGAAGGCTGCGGGGCTTAAGATTCCAGAGGTGGCGTGAGGAGCAGGTGAACGTATAAAGAAACAGTTGCATTGTAAAACAGTAACCAAAGTAAAGATTGATATACATAGCAACCTCCAATCCAGCGGATATCAATTCCAGACCTCCGCGTGGACCATTTGGGATGGGGGGCAGAGTCGCGTTCCTCGAACCTGGCCGTTCTAGATGGGATGCAGAAGAGCCGCCCAGGTCGCACACGGGGGCATGAACTGATCTTGCCCAAACGATAGGTCGTAGGACTGTAACGCCCTCGCCTCGCAAGGCACATCGTATGTGACAGGACTATCGCGAGAGCTTCGGGGAAAGCTCGAGTCGCGAGTTGCCAGTGCTCGTTTATCAGAATGGCCGCGCAAGGTGATCATCATGCATTGAGCCTGTCAGATGGACACTGCGAATGCCCCAGTCGCCTAAGTTAAGACAACTTCGTGCAGAGGGCAAGGATAGCACAACGCACTCCGAAGATACAGCTGGTCATTATGTCGGGGGACAACGTTAACACGCGGCATTTTCAGCGAGACAATCAATGGTTGAAACGCACCCCCGGAGAAACGCGTTGTTGCTTGCACCGCCAGCCAGAGCATGGGACATAAGTTGAGAGACATGCGTTCCAGTGTTCGTGGCCGCGAAGATATATTGACATCATGGAATCAAGTTCGGAGAACAGGCATCGGCCAAGGGTGGCTCCAAGGATCGGATCCTCCGCAACCTGGAGTACCCCGCAGAGCTGCAAGACGAAGGAAGGAGCGGCTTCACCGAGCTTCTCCCGCGTGGCGGGCAAATGTACCGGGCAGAACACATTAACGCGGGCCCTTGCGAGAGGTCGGACAGACGCCTGTGTTCTTGGGGACCTGCTATAATCAGACATGAGTGAAACTGATACGGTGAGCATGGGGTACGGTAGAAGTGTTGAACATGGGAGTACTAGTACGGAATATAGAGGTGGCCGCGATGCCAGTAGTGCTCGCATCGACCCGCCTTCATCAGCAAACAGGGAGAGGGTAGGGAAATATGCACCTTCGATAATACTAGGTTTAGTACAAGACTCGAAGACCCTATGAGGTAAGCTGAAGAGGACGCATCCGTCCGAGCTTTTCGCGGCTGGGTGTGGGCAACACTTACGTCCGCAATAGCGCGTATACCGCGTTTTGTGAATACCAGTTCTCCTCGCCGGGAGACTCGGAATACTGGCCAGGCTCGGACAAAGCTTCAGGCATGGGCATAGAGTCCCCTTATCCTCGGCTGAGAAAAAGAACCGCTGCTCCACGGCGCACATACGTACACCTCTTTCCGTGGACGAATTGCGTGATGAGGGGCTCCTTGGACTGTGGGCAAAGAAGGAGGGTCGTGCGGAAAGGAAGGGAGCGGGTCGTGTGTATCATTCGGTTATCTTGCATCCCGTATCCCGGCGTGGTATCCTGTCTGACAGACAAGGCTCGAGGTTGAAGCGCTCTCGGAGCCGAGCCCATCGGCCTATGCTGCTGCGCCGTCGGGGTGGGGACACGGTGCTAAGAACAGTTTACAGCGTCCTGGACCTAACTAAACTTTATCCTGAGAATTGAAGCCATACACAGGTCGCGAACTTCGTACGAGCTTGAAGTGGGAGAAAGAGCCATGAGGGAGCGAGATAAATCGCTGGATATATCCGATCGACTGCACCCTTGTATGACGGCTGTCGTTGAAGTAGAGGCGTTCCGAGAGTGCGGAGATATAGAGGAAGGTATCGTCGTTGGCGCCGCATAGGCTCCGGCCTGCTGGACCCTTTTCGAGCGATATGGTAGTACTTCTGCCAGGCGGCCGGGCCCTCTAAACATAGAGTGGCATATCGCGCCCGTGAAGGCCAAACTGTCGCAGCAGGCGGACACAATTATGGTGACTCGAGAAACAAAATAAGGGCTCACCCATACTTTCGGGGAAATGCGTAGATGATACAGAGGATCACTAAGGGTGTTATGACGAGCACTGGGTGTCTCTGGGATCAATTGGTCGTGCTCGCCAATGGATCCCAGAGCTCCCGACGCGTGAGAGTGAGAAAGGATAGACGTAGTTGGAGTTGATTCTCCCCGAGACCGGGAAAAGAAGAGGACCGTTTACGGCATCGCAGCATGATGGAAACCTTGACGAAATGCTGGATCGGAGGCGATTCGGAGCGCAGTGTTAATTATGATGGGGCCCTAAAGGCCAGTATGTTCAAGCTTCACAGCGCATTACCAGAAGTTTGATCGCGCCATTGCACTTGACTGAAGGTATAATGATGGGGGGACGTATAGTACAGTTCGCCACATGTACAGAGCCACAAAACGAACTACAACAGGGGCAATAATATTCTCCCGGCTACAACTTCCCTGTCACGCCGTGACTACCTCGGAGCCGGAAGCTGATCATGATCTTGGCAATGAATGTGGCTGTGTCCGAGCGCTACTGAACTTCGACCAAGGCACTCGGACATTGTCGTGCAGAACAAAAGTCTTCCGTGCCTCGGATTGCGGTACTATTCAAGAAACATAGTGACTGCAGCAGAACTGCTATCCGAACTTGCACTCCTTAGTATGGGAACATCGATTGGTCTTGCTTCCAGAACAGGAGGAACGTTTGCAAAATGCCTCATCTATTATTGTCCTTACCACGGCTCCCATCTTCTCGCATGATTATCGGATTTCCAACACAGGTTAATTAGCCTCGCAGTGTGAGCTCTACTATTAATACTGATAACCAAACGTTGTCTTTGATACACGGTTGCAAGTAACTCCACATGCCTCATACGAGCATCGGGCGCAGTGGGAATGACCTAACGACCCTTTCGAAACATGCGGGGACAATGAGTTCGTGTTATCGCCAGAAAGGCTCCGCTGCGCCCCGGATAGGACCGGTAGACCACTCCTATTCGCCTCGAATCCAAGAACCAGGGATGTGTACCAGCCTCTGGGCGAGGTGAACTAACGCTCAAGATTTCCCCGAGCTGTACCAGTAATAGTATGTGTTTAATTGAACGGTTCAATTAAAGACACAGACTAACTTAAACAGCTCGTTAACGCGTCCTCGCCAGGCCAGAGTGTATCTTTCCCTCGATTGACGTGAATTCTGATCCCAGTACGCACGCTGGCTCTCGACCGAAGCCATGGAGTGGGAATCTTTCCGAGGGACGAATGATGTCTTCCATACTCAACTCCCACTCGCGCGCTTCGCGAGCGCAACCCGGATTAACCCGTGCGTGAGGACGCTATGATAGCAGGTACCCAGCACCCCATATCGCCACGCTTCCTATTCCCTCCATGTCCCAGGCTATAAAACGAAATTCGCTCTGGCTGGTTCTCTCTTGAGTGCTTCCCCCCCAGCCCTTCCCTTCCCTCACCTCACACTAGGCCTAGCGCCAAAAACCTTGCCCCCGCCTCCTCCTTTCCATACATCACTCGGAGCAGACATGTCCCACAACGACTCTAGCATGCTCAAGCGCGAGAGCGGCAGCGACTACGCACCGGAGCTGACGCACCACCAGGTCGTGCAGGTATCGTCGCCTCCGCCCCCACGAACGTACGGCAACCCCGTACGTATTCATTACCTGCGTCCTTTCATGCTGTATAGCTGAATGAGACGGTAGACCCCCTTGGGGATGTTGGCATACGGGACTGTCTTCCTGTGCTCATCATTATTGACGCTCGGCACAGCCGGCGTGAAGACAGCCAACCTGGTCCTCGTCTTCGCCATGTTGTACGTTGTCCTCCAAACAATCTTCGTTCCTGTCTATTGTCGCTGACAAATTACGACATAATAGCTACGGCGGTATCATGCAGACACTCGTTGGTATGTGGGAGATGTTCCTCGGGAACACGTTTGCGGCGACCGTCTTCGCCACCTACGGCGGCTTCAACTTCACGTACGGCGCGCTGTACCTGCCTGAAATTGGTCTTGCGTGAGTAGACGCTGCTGTATCCGAGTTATCTGCCGATTTTGACCGCTCGTTCGCTTCGTATAGCGCTGCGTATTCGGTCAACGGCGAGGTCACGGAGGAGTTCAACCACGCCATCGGTATCTTCCTCGCCATCTGGGAGTAAGCATATTATTCCTATCCGAGTACTACCCTTGTCACTGACGTCCTGGCTACTCCTCTAGCTTCATCACGTTCCTCTTCTGGTGAGCCCCTCTCCTTTGAGACGTAGAAACGGAACCGACGGAGTTCTGACTCTCAATCTTACATAGCATCGGCTCATTAAAGACCACCTTGCCCACCGTCTTCACGCTCGGCTCCACAGTCTGTGCACTGACATGCCTATCTGCCGCGTCCTTCACCGGTTCGTCCTTACCCTCAGCTAGCTCCACCCGTATGTAGTCATTCTGACGCGGGGCTTCTCTGGCAGGCAATGCGCACCTGAACACCGCAGGCGGCGCGCTCGGCCTCGTCGCCACGGCCGGCGCGTACTACGGCGCGTTCTCCGGCTTCTGGTCGCAAGAGTCGACGCTCAAGATTATCCGCCTGCCACCCATCGTCCTTGCGGACCAGCAGGCATGAGTGATCGGGTAGTCCCGGATACAGGACGCCTCTGCGATGGCTACAATAGCGAGGGATGTTTCGATAAAATGATATGCCAGGTGTATTCATTGGGTCGGGCGTAGTTAGGATTTTGGGGTTTACTGCTAATGATGAGAGGCACTTCTAGTTACGCCACTGTACGCGATTCCTGTCGACGGATCTACATAACTGTCCGCGGCGGGTATGATAGAGCTGCATATATATTCCATATGTATTCCAGCACCCACAAGCGGGCCCGCTCCCCCTTCAATGCCTCAAGACTTGCCAGCTCGCCGCTCAAGACTCTTACCTTCGGGGACAATCCGAAGTCGGGGCGAAATGGCTGAGGTGTTGCGTGAGACATGTACTATAGGTTCTACCGAGCTGTTGTTCCCGAGTCGACCATGGTCATGGGACGGGCTCGCGTGCGACAACCAATTATGAGTCCCGAGTGTTCAGGATGTCCGGGGTTGCTCCGAGTCACAAGTCTAGTACCTAATCCGAAATGGAGAAGGCATTTCTTGATCAGGACTTATGTTTCTGCTGGGGTAAGTACAGTCTTGGAGCCAGAAGATACCCATGGCCTATATGTAACCAAAAGATTATAGCTACCTGGGTTGTATTGCTGGCTGAGGCTCAGGAGCACCGCTCACAAGCACGTACCCCAGCCGATTTTACATTTGTATGTTTATGTATTATACCCAGCATTTACGGATGGTATACACCAGCGGACAGCAGCGCACGCAAGATAAATAGAAACATACCCTCAAGAATCTGCGTCCAACTTCGCCAGCTCCACGAGTATCTCATCCTTTAGCCCCGCCGTCCTCCTGGCAGGTAGCCTCATCTCGGCGTATATACCTTTCGTAAGGAAAGTCGGGTTGATCGCGACCGTGTCTTCCACGACCTACATTCACCAGACCCACCCGTAAGTTTTCGTAAAGTGGGTAATGGACAGGGGGCACAGAATGAGAGAAGAATAACAACGCACCTTGGAAAAATGTTTGAGCCTGCTCGGGAGGATGAGCACATCCGGCGCGGCCGCCTCCGCGCACTCTGCATCGAGCGCGAGCCCGGCAGAGTGCGAGACGTCGAGGTTAACGTCGTGCGCGAGCTCGTGCGGGGCGGGGAAGATGGGGTAGAAGCTGCCATCCATAATCAATAATCAATTATCCGCACGCATTCCGGACCTTGAATTCAGATTTCAAGAAGGAGTTAAGAGAAACTTACCTGTGCTGCTGCAAGACGTGTCTGCAGAGACTCGACATCGCGTCCTGCGGCTGGTCGACAGGCGTTAGGCTGCGTTTGAAGTACTCCTCCTTGCGGAGGTGGAAGAGCACGTCGACGGTGCTCGCGCCGAACGTGATCCCGTTCAGCGAGAACCGCGCGGGGTTGGGCGCGAGGTGGATGCGCTGTAACAATGGCCAAGTTCGTCAGCATCTCGCCCCTTTCGCCAGGAAGGGTATTCATAGACGCATGGGAAGGGAATGTACAAACGGACCGGGTCGGACATGAGGCTCGCGGGGAGCTCCGCCTGCGGGAAGACCGCGTGATCTGAGATGATATCCTTGACGGAGGGCACGAGCACCACCGCGCTCCCGGGGGCGCTGGCGAGGAACTCGGCGAGCGGCGCGAGGAAGGTGTCCCGGAAGAGCTCTGCGGGCGGTGAGGACGCGAGGCCCTGCCGGATGTACGGGTGATCGGTGGAGATGAAGGGGCCGAGCTGGCACGGTGCGGGTGAGGTGGGGGACGGGGAGGAGACGGGAGGGGCTTACGAGGATGAGGACGTCGGGCTTCTTGGCTTTGATCTTCTTGAGCAGGTCTGTCCAGGGTTTGTACCCCAGGTCGGTGTCGGGTGTGTATGGTCCGCAGGCGATGAACACCGATCCGGGATCGTCGCCTCCACTTGTTTCTGATGCTTCGTCTACGGGTCTTGTTCTGAGGGGGGGTAGCTGTTTCACACTTTCTCAGCCCTGTCCGCACCACTGAAACAGAATATCTCGACGCACGTTAAGGATTTCTGTAACCAAAAAGTATCCCCCGCCCCCATTCCTTCCTCTCATCGCCACAATCGCTCCGGGGAACAATCCGATCCCTGCTAGCTCCCCTCCACTCGGCGACGCAGTGATCTTCAGGGACGGGTCGAACCGGAGGGGCACGCGCGCGCCGGAGCCAAGCATCTTGGACGTCTCGAGGACGACGGAGGCGTCGTTGAGTTTCGTGGAGAGGGACTCGGCGTCGGGGACGATGCGGCCTACTATCGTGGTTTCTTCCTGAATCGAGTGGGTGGGTTGGACAAGGGAAGGGAGGGTGGAAGGAGACAAGTGCACGTACGTCTGTGGAGGATCCGGGGTCGCCGAATTCGGAGATGGAATAGTACGTGCGGATGAGCTCTGCGAAGTCGTCGATGCGGTCGTCCAGGACTGGTGGGATGCGTCAGTTAGTACCGTGTGGTGCCCCAATCCGCGCCGCACCTTCGCTGCGCTCTGAGATTTTCTCGTACATGTACCTGTCTAAAGCACATTCTCTGTACATGAGATAGACAATGTTCAGGAGCAAACACTCACAAGCGCGCTTCTTCACAGCAGCAGGATCACTGCTGGGGCCGACGAACTTGACCTTGCTTGGGCCCGCCACGCTCGCACCCGCACCTGAGCTCTGCGCACCCCCCACAGTAGACCTCTTCACCGGCGTACCCATCCGGCCTGGTAAGCCCAGCACCGGCGCCCGGCCCCTCGTCATCCTCCCGCTCAACTGCGCACGCGCCTTCTTCGCCTGCTCCTTTGCCAGGTCCTGCTGGATCGCCGCCTTGATCTGGTTGACCGAGTCCATGGTAAATAGATTGACGCTGCGCCCAGTATTAAAGTTCAGCGCCTCCCATTTGTAGTAGACATTCTCGGGCGTGATGTGGAAGTTCTGGCAGAGCTTGATGCCTGGGCACAGTAGGGAAGGCTGCCAGGGAAGAGGTGCTGAAGGAACGTACATTCAGAGAGCAGGTCCTCTTCTGCAAGCTCGTTGTGTTGGAAGTATTGGAGGAGCTCGATGCGGAGCTCGGTGGATGAGGAAAAGTCGATTGCCATGGTCGGTGCTGAGAGACGCGTCGCGTTGTCACGCCGCGCTCAATCAGACGCGTCCGGTCACAGGTGTGACAGTGTCACTCTGCTCCTGATCCTTGCGAGCACGTGGACGGTGGCTGATGCTCTCTATCATCCTATGCCCGAAGAGACGCTAACACGACAGGATAATTCCCGGTCTCCACGAGGAACTCGAGTTGTTTCTGGCTGCGTTCGACGACGATTTGGCTTGGAACGTTTCAGGAACAGCTGCCCCAGATGATTGTCCGGGGTAAACTGGACGGATCAACAAATGCTTTGCGCTTCCCAGAGTCTCTGGCTAAGCGAATAATGCCGCCGAACTTCACAGAATGGTCGCAGCGCAGATAGCGTCAGGTGAATCCTCTGCACGCTGACCTGTCTTGCTCTGAGCGTCTCGAGCGCAAAACCCGTCACCGACGCCTTTCGGCCTCCCCAGGCACGTCAGTCCTCAACAGAACTAACTCACCAACATCAAGTCACGCGTTCCGCCTACCATGCAGCCAAGCTCTTCCCCGCATTCGCGACCCGCATATCACCCCGCCCCGCCAATCACGACGCGGCGAGCCATGAGTGCGGGAAGCTCTGTCCTTAGTAGCTGCCCATAATGGCTAATATATCGTTGTCTCATGGTGTTTCAACGGCTCTGTTCTACTGGTTGGGTTCCCGGGGCGCCGTGCCTTGCTGGCATAACACATATATATTGTGGACGGAATCTGCCCGCTACGAGGCTCAAGACGTCCCCATCCGCCATAGGCCGTCCCGACACAGGACACGCCCTTGATCCCAAGTCGGAGTCCCCACGATGCTGGCCCTGCTGTACTCCCTCGCGGCACTCTCCTCCCTCCTCGGCGCCTTCGCCGCGCCCGCGGTCCACGAGCTCGAGGACCGCAGCGTCACGGCGCTCTCCGCAGCCCAGCTTGCGTCGTTCGCGCCGTACACCCAGCTTGCGAGGGCGACGTATTGCCCCGGGGTCTCGAACTGGCAATGCGGTGGTATGTCCACGCTCACCCGGCGATAAACTCTAAGACTCAGCTCTTGGAATTCGTAGAGGCGTGCAGCGCCGTATCGGACTTCCAGCTTACCCTCTACGGTGGCGATGGAAATGCCGTCCAGTACTGTGCGTATGGCGCGCTCCTACTTCCATGCAAGTCCCTGAATCTCCTTCGCTCCTCGCAGATTTCGTCGGCTACCTCCCCAGCCAACAAACAGTCGTCGTCGCGCACGAGGGCACGGACCCCACACAACTGTAAGCCCTCGCTCTACTACGCTCTGTCACTAACTAACCGAATCTCAAGTCTCTCCGTCCTCACCGACGGCAACATCATCCTCGACGACCTCGACACCTCGCTCTTCCCAGGGCTCACCGACTCGACGGGCATCCAGGTGCACTCCGGGTTCGCGCAGGAGCACGCGAAGACCGCGAAGCCCATCCTCGCCGAGGTGAAGCGCCTGCTCGCGGCTGAGAACGTCAAGACTGTCACCACCGTGCGTATCCATGCATTCATTCTTCCTGCCGCCACGAAGAACACAGGCTAAGTGGTGCTGACACAGGTGGGCCACTCGCTCGGCGGCGCACTCGCGGAGCTGGACACGCTATTCCTCTACCTTAACCTGCCTAGCGACGTAACAGTCAAGGGCATCACCTACGGGAAGCCGCGCGTCGGCAACCCCGAGTGGGCGGCGTACTTCGACTCCAAGGTCCGTTTGCCCCGTCCCCAATTCTTCTCCTCACCCTACTCCGGTGCTGACCTTCGACCCACCCGTAGATCAAGAACTTCAAGCACATCAACAACGAGGAGGACATCATCCCCATCGTGCCCGGGCGCTTCCTCGGCTTCCAGCACCCCGCGGGCGAGATCCACATCGTCTCGCCCGGCAACGCCGTCGCGTGTTCCGGTGAGTCTCGTCTCCCCCCCCTTTTTTTATGCGTAGATTGCTGACGACACCGGGCAGGCGAGGACGACGCGACGGACTCGCATTGCACGATCAAGACCGTGCCGAACATCTTCTCGGGCGACATCCTCGATCACCTGGGCCCGTACGAGGGGATCTCGATCGGCACGATATTCTGCTAGGCCGCGGAGAGAAGTAAAATTCACCAGTGTATTTATTACCGCTTTTTTCGTCGGGTTTATTTCATTCGAGGGTTTTATGGTTGCCACACTTGACGAGGGTATGCATGATTTCAGAGCCACAGCGGCGTCGGACGAGGAGTGCCTAAGAAGGCTTCAAGGCTTCTACGGTCTGACGGATAGCAAGATATTCTGCCACAGTTACAGGCCTAGGTATCGCCAGCTTCAGTGATCACTGACGATGTGTTGCTTCCAGAACGATTTCTGGGATGTCTTCGAACCTGCCGTTCCTTCGTCTGCAGCTAGCCTTCGCGACCTGAACTGCTTGCAGTGATGCTTTATCTATATTCTGAACATCAAGGTGCTATGAACCGTCAGGCAGTGGTTTGTGTAGTCCTTCAAAGTTTCAGGGGCAGGTGGGAGCGCTTACAGCTGCAGGGAGCTGTTTCCTCTGGACACAACTAATCCTTGAGATATATGGTGAATATATCTAGGGAGTTCGCAGGCAATGTCCTGATCCGTCCATGGCGACTTGTATCTCGTACAATCTCACCTGGGAGCGCCGCGGGAACTCACGCCCGACACCAATACGAGGACAAAGACGCACATTATACAAAGTACAATTCCATGTAGGGCTACCGCGGGTCATTAAACTTACACATCGTACATACACGTTTCTCGACTGGTGAGGCTTGTACGCGGTCCGAACATTTGAGATGTGTCGCGCGAAGCTCGGACCCTCCGGTCATGTTACAGCAGATGCGGAGGCAGAGGCGCACATATCGTGACGGCTAGACGCACTTGCAGCGTCGTCAATGGCAAACGCAAGATCAGCGACTACTCCTCCATGGCTTCAGCAGGTTTGGGCTCTTCCTCGGCAGCCGCAGGGTCAGCGGGGACATCCTCCTTCTCCTCCGCAGCCTCCTCCGTAGCGGCAGCGGGCTCCTCGGCGGACTCGCCCTGAGCAAGCGCGCTCTCCTTCACGGGACTCGTTGCTCCGTTGTTGGTGGGCGATACCGAGAGGGACGGGTGCGTGGCCGAGGGCGAGGACGCATGCGGGATGCTGATGGGATCCGATTAGCCTTAGTCAGGAACACGAGGCGGGAGGAAGAGCGGCGCGCGGGCTTACTTCTCAGGGTTGGGGATCGCAGTGCCGACCGTATTTTGCGGGGCTTTGCCTGCCTTGGACAGAGCATAGTCACCAGAGTCGAAGTACTTGCGATCCTGGAGATGAGGGGGCGATGGAGAAGGCAAGAACGTCGGCTTGTCAGAAGGATGGCCAAGTCAATATCAGTCGATGTATGCTCACCTTCTGCATCTTGGTGAGGACATTCTTGTGGGTGGGCAATTTACCATACAGTCGGAAGAGCTTCTGCTCCTCCTCCGACAAGGTCTGCAAGCAATACATATCCGTAAGTATTTTCCAACTCAACCATTCAAATCCCGAGTGAGCCACATCGAAATATCCCGATGGCGCGAAACGAATATACAACCACAGGCGAAAGAGACTCACGCTGATGTCGATCTTCTTGAGCTTGGCGGGATGCATTGTGCAGCAACAAAGTCACAGATGAGGAGGAGGAGCTGAAGACACACTCCGCAAAGGGTGGGGAACGGGGCGAGTGAAGACGGCAAAGATCCAGTTGCAGCAGGAGTAAGTACGCGATGCTGTAGTTGTCTCTACGGAGCATCCGCCATCGCGAGGCGACTTTCACGGCGGAGTGTCGGAGTTTCAACCTCTGTATTGACGTACTAGTGGGCTATTACGTAACGCTTATATCGTTTGTATTGCCTCAGCCCGATCATTACGCGTACGCCCGACCCGCGCCAGCAATTCGACAGGTAAAAGAAACATGATGAGGAACGACATGTCGTTTACGCAGACAACACCGGTACCCATCCATCATCAAAGTTGAGAACGACGTCAGGGTCTACATTTGGAAGGTCATCCGGGGCACATAACAAAGGAACGGAGGTCGAGGGGCTGCCAGGAAAAGCATTATGTCGCCGAACCAGGTGCATTCCAGAACTGCCGAGGTCGAATTCGTCTTCGAGATCCCTCAAACCAAGGTAAGTCGTCCCGGGTTCCGCCCCGTCTCGCTCTTCTTGGACATCAAGGTCTTCAAAGGCATATCCAGGCTCCGAAACTACGCGTGAAGGAGGCGCAAGATCCGAAGGTACCAGAGAAGTGAGAGACATGGGGGGTGCCTTTGTTCCTACGACTTCTGAGGCATAAGAGGGCGAGTACACCGGAAGCTGACCAGAAACCAGATCGTATTCCATCCAGTCTTCCTGCCAGATGTTGGGCGACTCGTTGCGCTCTACGGGCGACTCTTCTGGAAGCCAGTCCTTTATGAATGCGATGTCTAGCGCGGGAGAACAGAGAACATCTGAAACAGTCCCAGTTGCATGCGGGCGGGGACTGAGAAGAACGTCGGACAACCACCCTCCTATCCCAAACCACGTTGAGTACCTCACCTCCGCGGAACTCTGTCCGGAGCACACCCACCTTGGGAATCATGACTAGAATCCTGCGAGGACACAGGAGACTCCATATCTTCTTCCCAAAGCATGCCATCATCGTCGAAGCACCCATGACGCGCTACAGCTTCACTCGCATCCGCATGTTCAAGCATGGTATCCTCGTGGCAGACGTTATCTTGCGAAGCAGACAACAGCTTAAGTTCTTCGTCGGGCCAAAGGTCTTCAGAATCACATCCACCTGGGGAAGCAAAAGCACGAGGAGAGTCGGAATCAGCGGCGTCCCAAAGGAGCCCGGGGGGATCTGCATCAGACAGCGCTGCCCCTAGATGAGCCGAGGGACTCTGAATTAACGAGAATGCGTCGTCCGGTTTGTCCGCAGCACCGAAACCAGATATAGTACACTGCAACAAATGTCAGCTTTTATTTATCGCGCATATATCGACAGACTTTGAAGCGAGTAGGGCGGATGGTTTGGGCAAAGAGCCTTCCCATCGCCTGGCAGATAGCTTCGGCGCTGCCGTAGTCTTCAGGAAGATCAGGGGGAGGTACTATATCTTCAACACCGCACGATTCTAGGAGACGATGGAGTGTCTCAATCCGAGCCGCGGTGATGCTCTGCATTCGACTGCGGAAGCGCTACGGGGGCAGATAAGCACTGAAACCGTGTATCCACACAGCTGGTACCTTGAGGATCCGTCGGCACTTCTTTTGAAATATGGGGTTGGGAGACCGCTCGACAATATTGAGAACAGACCGTGCGATGGAGGGTGTAAAGTGCATCTCTGAATCCAGTTTCTGCAGCCAACGTCCAGTTTATGTAGCCCACATGTCCGAGCAATCACTAACCGATCTCCAAGGTCCGAAGATTAAAGGATAACGACTGTGAGGGATTAGTCCCCAAATGCCAGACCAAGGGTCAATCCTACCAGACGAGATGTGTGGATACGAATTGCCGAGAGACTTGGTCTAGGGCTGTTTCAAAGGGCAAGAATAGCTGTGGCGAGAACGGTTCCGCTTCCAATAGTATACTAGTGAGCTGGGCCCACTGCGTTAAGCAATTGTCGGAAATACCATCCGTGACTCCAGAGAATCTCCAGTTGTATACTAGCTCGATAGAATCCAGTGTAACAGAAGGGAAAGGCTGGTCGAGCGGCACAGGGCGCGAAGACGTGAGCGTAACTGCTGAGGGTCGTTAGTTGAGGTGGTAGGGCGTGGGATGTATACCTGCGTTGCGGCAACGCGTCTTTGTCGGACGCGTAGACTCCAGATAGATTATCGACACCCAGCTGTTCCGCGTTCTGTCATAAAGGTGGATAAGGGTCCGCAGCAAGGGTCATCACCGTCCACCTGCCATTGAGAGATACCGATGGAAATGGGCAACCAGCGCTGAAGATTCAACAAGATCACTGGCAACTCTAGACCCGTCGACAAAGCCCATGAACGTGAGGACCAGGGAGCGCGGCAGGTGCACATCCAGCTCTGCCGGATATCGACCTTTCGCCGGGTAAACGACATCCGAAGGTGTATCCACGACAAGACGGTGGCAGGCATTCAGAACCAGTGTAAATCCTTCGGCAGCATGACGAACGACGGTACAATAAGAGATAGTCGGCATAGCATTAGGAACGGGCTGGCCTGGCGATGAGGGAAAGCAGATGGTCGTGGTGGTGGCGGTACAAGAAACAGACGCATACAGCCACTGCCTTGCACCGGAGACGCCGGCACTGCTGCTCAAAAGCACTCAGGCTGCTGCGACCGCCCTTCGTCTCATCCGCCAACGCTGACGACTGCCCCGTCACGACCGGCACGACCGCTGGCGCAATGGTAATGCGTGTCTCTGCTTTCGATGCGCCGCGATAGACCGCTCACGCTGCTTTCTCATAGGCGCATGAACTGGACCAAAAGATACAGGATGTGTACAAGAAGATCCAGACGGAGCGCAAGGTCCTCGAGGCCGGCCGTCTGCTGCGCCAAGCGACCAGCAACCCCGAGGTCCTAGCCAGCAACGACGCGAAGATCAGGGAGGCCGAGCGCTCGCTCTCCTATTTCGAGAATACCCTGCGCGAGCTGCAGTCCCGTAAGCTGCAGCAGTCGCAACGCGACGATCATTCTCGATCCAGCAGCACTAGTTCCGCCCAGCTTGGGCTGCCTACATCTCCCCGCTCGGCGACAGGTAGATACCCCTCCGTCGCGTCCGACTATGGTCCGCCTGGGCGCAGTGGCCGGCCACCGTCGTCACCCAACTTGGGACCCGTCCCTCCTTCAGATGACGACCATGGCGGCGTACCGAAGCCGAAGACATATACCAACCTAGATTTGATAAAAGCAGACTCGCCGCATACAACGGCGAAGATCTCGCGCATGCTGCATCAACTCGAATACAAGCTCCAGATCGAGAAGGAGTACAAAACGGGTATTGATAAAATGGTGAAGTTATATCAAGCCGAGGGCGATAAGAAATCAAGAGCCGATGCGGAGGGAAAGAGAGTAGAGAGTGAAAGGAAGATCCAGCTGCTCCAGAGTGCTCTCAAACGCTACAAGAACCTGTACGTACTTGACGATGCCGGAGAAGAGGAAGAAGGTATGCCTCTCCCTGTGTTGTCTCCTTGAATAAACTTCATCCTTTTGCACAGAGCAAGACGAAGATGGGCAACGCAAGGACAATCTGCGCTCAAAACCTCTCTCCGGTAAATTACAAATCACCATCAAAGGTGCGCGCGAACTCGACCACGCCCCCATTGTCAAAGCCCGATCCTCCTCCAAGCAAGTCAGAGAGACCTACATTTCGCTGCGTGTCGAAGGGACCCAGTATGCCCGATCACACCCCAGTCGGACCGACCGCTGGAACGAAGACTTTGACATCACCGTCGATAAGGCTAACGAGCTCGAAATTGCCATCTACGACAAGCAAGTGAGCGAACCCTACCCAGTGCCCATTGGTCTGCTCTGGATCAAGTTGAGTGACCTCGCCGAGGCTCAGAGGCGGCAAAAGGTCATGATGGAAAGTGGAGCGGGCGGATGGGTCACTGCTGGTGCTATGGGTGGGGATGCTACCAGCCCGCCGATCTCAGGGCAGAATGGAGATGCTACTTTCGGTGTGGCGGATAACAGGGGTATGATTGGTGGAAATTTCACGAATATGGCAATCCAGAACGACGGCATCGACGCCTGGTTTGCAGTGGAGCCCGCTGGTGCTCTCGCGATGCACATAAGCCTTGGTGAGTCTTCCCCTAACTGTGTTCTTTATCGGCTCTTCGTGGCCTGATGCCTCCAAAGTTAAGGAGAACGTCCGGAAGCGCCCGCTCGACACGCCCGGACGTCTGGGCCGTCAAGGTGCCGTCCGCCAACGGAAAGGGGAGGTGCACGAGAAGAACGGCCACAAATTCGTCCAACGTCAATTCTACCAGCTTATGCTTTGCGCATTCTGCAACGAGTTCCTCCTCAATGCTGCCGGATATCAGTGCGAAGACTGTCGATACACCTGTCATAAAAAGTGTGCCGAGAAGATCGTCACCAAGTGTATATCCAAGTCAAACACAGGGGTACGTGGATATCTTTATTTGCACTCATGATGGTGAAGTAACACACGTACGCGGATAGGAGGACGAGGAGAAGATCAATCATCGCATTCCCCATCGGTTCGAGCCATTTGCCAACATTGGCGCGAACTGGTGTTGCCACTGCGGCTACATGCTACCACTTGGCCGTAAGAATGCCCGCAAATGCACAGAGTGCGACATCACCTGCCACGCAACTTGCGCTCACTTGGTCCCCGACTTCTGCGGAATGAGCATGGAGACAGCGAACAGACTTCTGCACGACTGGCGTGACATCAATCGAGCCAGAGGCGGAAAGAGCGTCTCACAGGCCCGCCCGAAGCCCAAGCAGGAGTCGACACAGAGCCCGATGCTGCCGCCTGTGGGTCTGGAGGGCGATATGGGTAACTTGCGCTTGACGGGAGACATTCCCCCTCTCGATCAAGCGTACGGACAAGCCGCTCAGGCTCCCGGATATGCACAACAGCCCTACCCGGCTCAGGCTCCTCCACGTCCCCCGCCCGGCGCTAAGATACCCCCAGTGCCTCCCTACACGCAGCAAGGAATCGCGCAACCTGTCCCCTCTCGCCCCTCCTCCGATTACGAGCAGGTTCCTCAACCTGGACCGGGTGGATATGATGTGCGTACTCTACTATAGTATTGAGACCCTCTGAATAATTCTACTTATTACAGCGAGCATCACCGCAGCCCCCTGTACCGCCAAAGCAGTATCCTCCTGCTGGCGCTCCCGTGCAGGCCCAGCCTCCTGCCGCACAACAGCCAGTACCTGCTTCTCAGCAACAAGTTCAGCAACGTCCACCAGCGGCTCAGCAGCAGGTCCGCAGACAGTCGACAAAGAGGAAAGTCGGTCTGGAGGACTTCAACTTCCTGGCTGTGCTGGGGAAGGGTAACTTCGGAAAGGTCATGCTGGCGGAAGAGAAGAGGTCAAACAGTCTCTATGCCATCAAGGTGCTGAAGAAGGAGTTCATCATCGACAACGACGAAGTGGAAAGGTGCGCCTTGGTCGTTGGTTTGACCGTCTGAACCTGCTTTAAGACGTCTTCTGCAGTACTCGCTCAGAGAAACGTGTCTTCTTGACTGCTGCGAAGGAACGTCATCCCTTCCTGCTCGGCTTGCACTCGTGCTTCCAGACGGAGACTCGCGTGTACTTCGTGATGGAGTACGTCAGTGGTGGTGATCTGATGTTGCACATCCAGCGGAAACAGTTCTCCCTACGGCAAGCGAAATTCTATGCCTCCGAAGTCTTACTTGCGCTGGAGTACTTCCATCAGAATGGTATCATTTACCGGTAAGTCTCACAGGTGCTCTCTACATGTTTTGCATTTAACTGAGATAATGCAGCGACTTGAAGCTCGACAACATTCTCTTGACGTTGGATGGCCACGTCAAGGTAGCTGATTACGGTCTTTGTAAGGAAGATATGTGGTACGGCTCAACCACCAGCACGTTCTGTGGAACTCCGGAGTTCATGGCCCCAGAGGTAAACTTTAAGCAGGAAATGTCACTACAGCCACTGACATTGTTGTCAGATTTTACTGGAGCAGCGCTACGGCCGCGCCGTCGATTGGTGGGCGTTCGGTGTGCTCACCTACGAGATGTTGCTCGGTCAATCCCCGTTCCACGGCGACGACGAAGACGAAATTTTCGATGCCATCCTTGAAGATGAGCCTCTGTATCCTATCACTATGCCCCGAGATGCTGTATCAATATTGCAAAAGGTAGCCCTACCATCATCCGCGTTTTACTGATTGCTTACGTCCCATTCAGCTCTTGACCAGGGATCCCACTCGCCGCCTTGGTTCGGGCAAGGATGACGCCGAAGAGATCAAGAGACATCCCTTCTTCAAGGACGTCAATTGGGATGATGTATTACATAAACGAATCCCCCCTCCGTATTTCCCGACGGTGGTACGTTTGACTCGTAAAACCATTCAGCTGCTCTCTCACTGTATTCTGCAGAGCGGGAGCGCGGACACGAGTAATTTCGACGAGGAATTCACTCGAGAAGAGCCGACATTGACACCCGTGTACGGTCAACTATCTGCTCGTGATCAGGCGGAATTCAACGGGTTCTCCTGGGTACGCGTTTGCCTTTTCCCCCAGAATTTGTTGACGCTAATCATACTTCATTGCAGGTGGCTTCGTGGGCGGATGTATGAACAGAGTAGTCATTTTCATTATTGTAGTTGGTTGCATTCCCCCTTGTGCCTGGTCTGTCTGTCTGTATCGGATACCTCTTGTTCGAACTCTTGAGAAGATGTCATCATTACGCCCCGGCTTTACGATAGGATAGCTCGGACGCCTGTACCTGTATCAAATCCATTCGCTGACAATTCACTCGTTGACACGATGGCTGCCCGTGCCAGGCAGGCCGGGCCCTGGCGCGTCTTCGCTCGTAGACTCCTCTGCGCTTTCCCGCCGCCGGCGAGTGAGCTCCTGGAAGCTCTGCCAGAGCTCGGCGATGTGCTTGTATTCCGTCGTCATGCCCAGAATCTCTTCCAATTTCCGATTGGACACGTTGCTGGAGGAGAGGAGTTCCTCGAAACCCTGCGATTCGGGGTAAACTGTGAACGTCCCCGGTGCACGTCGCAGGGTCATTTACCGCGGTGATTTCGCCTGCCAGGCGATCTCTCTCTTTCTCAAAGAAGGTAGGCTCCTCAGAGGTCGACATTTTCAGAGTTTTGAAGGTACATCCGCGTTCCAAGGGTGGCGGGAGGAACCAAAGCGCAATAATTTTAATTGGTCACGTCGCGTCGCGCGACGCGCTCAAGTCTCGGATAATTACCGCCACAGCAGTCATTAACGAGTCTTTAGCTTTAGGGTGGAGGTGAGTCTAAGGAATTAGTTCTAGCTTCCATACCAGCTACGTGCTACCCATCCTGCGATACCTGCGACAACGGCTGTGGCTGCTGCAAGAGTAACTATATCCTGATCACTAGAAGTCCGCGTACTGACACCCTCGGCTGGCGTCCCCTCCAATGAATCATCCGTAGAAAGCCCAGTAGATGGTGTTTCAACACTGGGCAGAGCAGCCGCCATGGCGGCAATGTGCGACAGGAACTGCTCCTGCGTCTCCAGGTGCTGCGAGAGCTCCTTCATCCCGCCCTGGATCATATTCCGATTCTCCACCTCCAGCTCCTCGATCTTCTTCTCGAACGTCTGCGCGAGCCGCCTCCTCTTCCACGGCTCGACGAGCGCGATCGCGAGCACGAACACGACGACGTTGAGCCCGAGCGCCGCGAGCGAGCCGTACGTCGACGCGCTCCTAATCTTGTCCGACCACACCTGCTCTTCATGATACCTCGCCAAAATGCTCTGCATCAAGTCACTAAACGCGCGCTCGACCGCCTCCTCCGCGCGCGCGGCCTCGGCCTTCGCGCGCGCCTCGGCCTGCTCGTGCGAGTGGTCCTCGCGCACGAGGTGCGTGAAGCGCACGACGTCCGCGTCGCTCCAGCTCGACTTGCGCTGCAGGAGCTCGTTCACCTCGCGCTGCGAGTTGGAGCGCTGCAGCACGGCGTCCTCGTGCGCCTTCTTGGCCGCTCTAGCGTGCTCCCGCGCCTCAGATATTCGGGCCTCTATATAGCGTTTGTGGTAGTTCTTAGAATGCAAAATGGGCGCGACGTACCTTGCTCGACGACCCGTCGTTTGAGCGCCTCTATCTCGTCGTAGCCGGTGAATTTGTTGAGGTGGCTCCCGAGCTGGGAGAACGTCGTGAGCATCGACGCGGTCAAGTCGTCCGCGCGCTTTCGTAGAGCGATCGCTTTGCTCTCTGACCATCCCCGCAGCCGTTCCTGAGCTGCCGCTACGTCGACAGCAGTGGGCTTTGCACTTGAGCTTGCGCTGGCCTCTGCATCCGGCTGAGATTGGCTCGGAGGACTGCTAGAATCCGTGCTCGCGTCGGAAGGAGGAGGCAGCGTCGGGTCATGAAAAGCGTTCCCTGGCGTAGGCTGCGGTTTTGTTTCCAGCCATCTCGAGGAGTACGAGAACTGACGAAGCGGGACCGCCGCCCGAGGCAGTCGTCGTAGCGGGCCAGAGCCTCTTGAGAGCATGAGAAGCGAGACGGCATCAGCCACAATAATTCGGCCACAGTATTGCCCACACTCGAGCCTTTCAGGGATCCATTCCACCCTCCGAGATTACAGGTAGTATTCATCGCGTGTCGTCCGTACTCTACAGGTAGCCCAATGAATATAATAGATAGACCAGAACAGAATTAACGAAAACGACAGTGCAAGTGCGATTCTATGTACAGTACCATGCGTGCTTGTATGAGTGAGGTGCGTGGTGTTCCGGCATCTACAGCAGAAGGAGAGGAGAGTGGAGGGCGACCCGCTCAGCTCCAGACATCCAACATCAGCCGCGACCGCTCCTTGAGCAGCTTGAGCTCCGCCGCGCCCTCCACCTCCGCGCTCCCGCCCTTCGCCTCGCCCAGGATCCTCGCAATGGTATCCTCCACCGCCTTGCTCATATTCTTCGCGTCCCCGCACACATACACGTACCCCTTCCCGTTCAGAATCGCGTCCGCGATATTCGCGCGGTCCTCCCAGATGAGGTCCTGCACGTAGATCTTCGACCCGTCGGGCTTGTACGGCGGCTCGCGCGAGAAGGCCGTGTGCATCACGAACTTGCCCTGCAGCTCCTCCGCGTATTTCGGCCACTCGTCCTTGTAGAGAAAGTCTTCCGTGGACTTGCGGCAGCCGTAGAAGAGCGTGATGCGCCCCCAGTCCGCGAGCGCGCCCGGGCCGTTCTTCTCGATTGTCCGGCGCGCGAGCGCGACGCGCTCCTGGATGAAGCCGCGGAAGGGTGCGACGCCCTGGAGACGTGGTTAGTATCGTGAGACTCTGTACTAGCCCGAGAGACCCACCGTGCCAGGGCCGACCATGATGACCGGCGTCTTGGGGTTCGTGGGCAGACGGAAGGTCGAGCGCCTCACATGGATGGGCACCTTGTAGACACTGCCCTCCTTGTACGAGTTGCGCGGGCCCTCGATCGCATACTTGGGCTTGGACACCACAGCCGGCTCGCCCTCGGCGGGCTCGCTCACGAGCGGGGCGTCCTCGCCATTCGCCGCAAACTTGAGGTTCAGCAAAAAGTTCGAGCCGACGCCGTACACCCATCGCTGCGCGACCTTTTCGCTCTGCGCGCTCTCGTACTTGAGCACGACGGCGGTGACGTGGATCTGGTTCGGGAAGAGCTTCGGGCTGGAGGAGATGGAGTAGTAGCGCGGCTGGAGGCGCGGGACGGAGGAGACGATGATGTCGAACGGCACGGGCCACGCGGTGGTGTTCTCGGGCGTCGGGCGCGCGTGCAGGTCGTCGCCGGCGGCGAGCTGGAGGACCTCGCCGAGCTTGAGGCACCCGCCGGCGACGACGCGCGCGTAGAGCTCCTTGTCCTGGTTGTACGCGCGCAACAGCTCGCCGGCGGCGGGGGAGGGCGCGAACTTGCTGAGCGCGCCGAGCATCTGCCGCCCGACGAGCGCGCTGATGTCGATGTAGTGGCGGAGGACGGTCGCGTAGGTGGTGGGCACGGGGAAGGGCACCTTGGCGAGCGCGGGGTCGAGCGAGTCGATGTTGATGATCGTGTCCTTTTTGTGGTAGAGGCCGAGCGCGCAGAGGAGGCGGACGACCTCGAGGTCCGGGTTCGACGGCCACACGCCGACGTGGTCGCCGTGCTGGTAGGTGATGCCGGAGCCGTCGACGTCGAGCTCGAGGTGGACGCAGTTGCGGTCGGCGCCGGCGGCGAAGAGCTCGCGGGCGGCCTTGATGGGGGCGGGGTACGGGTTCTTGGCGTCGTGGATGCCCTTGGTCTTGGTGAGGGCGCGGGCGGAGAGCTCGCCGAGGTAGACTTTTTCGGGGGGGTGGGAGTCGAGCTCGTGGACGGCAAAGTCGGGGGTGTCGCCGCCCTGGCCCTCCTCGACGCCCATCTCGCGCGCAAAGGCATCCCACATCTTGTCCTTCCACTCGAGGTAGTCTTCTTCCATGGAGCGGTCGTCGTCGCCCTCGCCGCGGTCGCCGATGCGGCGGGCGCCCATGTCGGCGAGCTCCTTGTCGACGATGCGGGCGATGGCGTTGAAGTGCTCGTAGGTGCGGTTGCCGAGGCCGAAGATGACGTACTTGAGGCCGTCGAGGCGGTGGGCGCCGTTGGAGAACTCGAAGGAGGAGTCGCGGAGGTTCTCCATGAGGGTGACGGCGTTGTCGGTGGGCTCGCCCTCGCCGTAGGTGGCCATGACGAAGAAGACGGCGGAGTCGTCGGGGACCTGGTCGAGGTTGTCAAAGTCGTACTCTTCGGGGTCGCACACGAGGGAGGTGAGGCCGAACTTGGACTTTGCCTCCTTTGCGATCCTGATGGCGTACTCTTCGGCGGTGCCGGTCTGGGAGCCGTAGAAGATGACGAGGCGTTTTTTCTGGGGGAGGGGTTAGAAGACGGAGATGGATATGAATGCGTTGGGACGCACGCCCTCCTTCATCTTTGCGACAAAGTCGCGAGGGTTGCCGGAGGCATTGGCGGAGCGGTTGGAGACGGGGGCTAGGACGGACTTTGGCTTTGCGGGAGCGAAGAGCTGGTCCTTGAAGAGGTAGAGGGCGGCGAGGACGATGCCGAGGGAGAGGATGAAGAGGTCGGAGGTGGAAGCGATGGCCATGGCGGGGGAGGGCGACGACGCTGGGGGGACAAGTGGCGCGAGGCCGGGGCAGATATACTCGACTCGACGTGGCGTCTCCGAGTCTCCGAACAAGGCGCCGCTCAGCAAATCCGCCTTACGATCAAGTTACGATACTACTAACAAGTGCCTAGTACGATACGCCTAGAGCGTCGCTGCTGTTTCGGCCCCGCAGCCGACTCTGTCCGTAGACGGGACGTGCATTGTCATACGGCCGCATCCACTGCATCACGGCCCTCCCCCGATGGCCATCCCCGGGCGCGTCCCCCACGCCGCGTGCCCCGCCGGCCGAGCCACCGCCTCGCGCACCCCCCGCACCTCTGCGCTCTCCCGCCCCAGCTCGTACCCGTACCACTCCTCCGCCAGCGCACCCCACGCTCGCAGGGCTTCCACACTAGAGTACCGTTAGCTTAGCTTAGCACTTGTATCACGCCGAGTCCTCACTCCGAGTGCGCCGCCGCAACCCACACCACGTCCCCCGCCAGCCGCCCGCGCTCGCTCACGTACCCCTCCGCCTCCCCCAGCGCCCATATCCGCCGCGCAATGTCCGCCGCCGCGCGCCCGTCGATCGCGCCGCCGCCCCAGCTCGCGAACTGCGAGTAGAGCGCGGCCATTTCCTCCAGGCGCGCGTCGGACTGCGCGGACAGGGCGGGCGCGAGGGAGCAGGTGGCGCAGGTGCAGTTGAAGGCGTATTGGCCGAGGAGGTACGCTCTGCCAAGTTGGTTGATCAGATGTCAGAGGATGTGTGTAGCGCTCACCTCCGGTCCTCGCGCTTCCTCTTCGTGTCCATATACGTCGTCAGCAGCTCCTACGAATGCAACCCTTGTCAGGCACCAACCCCCTCCCCATTCCAAAGCAGGAGCTCGGGCTCTCCACCACCACTCACCTCCCCCCTCCTGACATCCCGCACCGCATGCACCACCAACACCCCCTCCCCCGCGCGCCAGCTATACACAGCATTAAACGCCCCCGCGCACGCGTGGTTCAGCCGCGCCATCGTCGGGAACACGCCGATGTGCCCCTCGCCCGCGGCGACGGCGTTGGTTTGCACGATCGCCAGCGCCACGTCCAGCGGGTCCGGGTCGGGCGAGGAGGGGAGGTGCACCGCGGAGAGCGCGAAGAAGGCGGAGAGGGAGGCGGCGGGGAGGGCGGAGAGGAGAGAGGAGAGGAGGGCGGTGGGGGAGCTGGTTACTGGGGGGGGGGTGAGTGAGGCGGTGGGGGCGGGGAAGGGGGGAAGGGGACGTACTCTGCTGCGGGATGCGCAGGAGGGGGGCTTCGCGGATGAGGAGGTCGCCGCGCTGGCTTGACATTAGTCCTCGTACGAGACCCTGCCGCATCTGGATCCTTGCGCACCTTGATATCCCGCGTCGCGACGAGGCCCTTCCCCCGCCCGGGCAGGTCGACCACCTCAAAGGGCGGACTCGCCGGCGCATTCGGTATTGGTGAGGGTGTCCACAGTACGCCGAAGAGGATCGCTATGCACAGGCACAGCAGCGCCAGCCTGTTTCCAGATACAAAGTTTGAACGCGGTTCGCGGGCGTACTGACCACGTACGCGCGAGGCTGGTCGTTTCGGTGCTCGCATGCGTGTCTTCATCCCTCTTGTTTGGAGTCTGAGAGGCCGTGTTCTTTTGTCGTGTGGTGCTACGCATCCGTGGGCTGCAGAGGAGGACTGTAATAGCCACCGATCGCGCTGGGAGAATAGGCGCCCGTACTTTCTGTCCGCCACACTACTATAACACGCTGATTACCATCTCCCCTGTGACATGGCGTACGAATTCCTCTCGGCAGACACCGCCATGCACGCCGAGGACTCGCCGTGGGACGACGCCCCCGGGCATACGGAGGAGGCGGGGTGGGCGAGGATGGCGGGCGAGTATACGAACGTACGTCTCGCCACCTCCCCCCTTTCCCTCCTTCCCTTCACTCCCTTTTCTTCTCGCCAAATGTCCATGAACATGCTAATGATGGGTGAATACAGGCAGGCTACCGCGAGGGCATCACCGCGGGCAAGGAAGCCGCGCTCCAGGAGGGGTTCGACGCCGCCTTTGCGCGCGTCGGCGTCCCCCTCGGGCGCCAGCTGGGCGTGCTCCGGGGGACGTGTGCGGCGCTCGTGGCGTTCCTCGCCTCCTCCTCCTCCTCCTCCTCCTCCTCGCCCTCTGACCCGACCGCGCGAATGGAGGTCCAGACGTACCTGGAGGAAGCGCGCGAGATCCAGACCCAGCTCGCGCGCGTGCGCTTCTCGGACGTCGACCCCGGCGACGAGGAGGCGGAGAGACACGCGCGGGAACATGCGGGGGAGGACGAGGGGCTGGGGGTGGAGATGGAGATGGTGGGTGGGGACGAGGGCGCGGAGAGGAGGAGGGTGGAGGCGGTGGAGGATATGCTGGAGAGGATGGGGGTGGATGGGAGGGAAGGGGAAAGAGGGAAGGGGAGGGGGAGGCCGACGGTGGGGGATGTGAGGAGGCTCAGGGAAAGGCTCGAGGGGCTCCTGGAGAGTGTGGGGGTTGAAGTGGACTTGAGTTGAGCAGGCCCGGGGGTGTTTTTCTTGGGATTTTGGGTCATGCCATCTGGAGGGTGGGTTGGGCAATACGTGCCTGCAGGCGCGACTCGGTTCTTGCTTGCCGATGATACCCCGATTGTCCTCTGCTTTTCCTTTCTTACTAGATCGCTGCATGGCTCAGATCCGCGTCGAGTCTGCCGGAGTCGTCGATCAGTACGTTGGTACGTATCCTCCCTGATCGTGTCTTGGGGAAGCTCATTCGTACACCAAGTTTGCAGCTACCTATCGCGCACTCGGTCTCGAAGGACATCGACACAAGCCCACGTGCACGCCGAAACGGGGACTCCAGTCTGCGAAATCATGAATGAGCATGTGCAAGCTGTCGTCGAGCCTGTAACCTGTGAGTGGTCGAATCTACATATTTCCCAAGTTCAGGGCTTGATGCTACTCCACTGCCAGGCAGAAGTGATGATATGTAGCACTATATTAAAATTGAGATAGAAATCATTCGCTGTACCCCACAAACTTGAATCCGCTTCCTCGCGTTGAATTCGCCCGAGCCCGTGACGGGGGGCTGCAACGATGCAGAAGAACTTGGGGGCACTGGCAGTGGTAAGCACGTCTGTAGAGGTTGCAAGTCACGGTGGCGGAGGTGTTTGCGTTTGTTTGTGCACACGACTGGGGTGCGCCACAGGCGCGACTAATTAGCGCGTCCAGCGTTGAAGCCGGTCTGACTGGCGAATGCGACGGGAAGTACGTCGAATCTGAGCAAGAGCGGTGGAACCTTGGATGACGCCGCTCAATCTTATTTTACTTTCTCAGTCCCCCTTTCTTGCGATTTGAGAGAGCTCCCGCGGCTGGATTGATGCTACGGATATATAATTATATGGAGCATCGAGCCATTTCTTCGCTGTAGTCCTAGATATCACCTCACCATCAGCTGTCTGCTGCTCGCTTACTAAAGCTGAACTGCGTCGAAATGCATCCCTCAAGGGATTTCTGAGTCGCAATCCGAGCATTGCAAGTTCCACGTCACGATCACGTGAAGCCAGCGAAACGCTTTCCTTGCCTCGACCAGCGCAATGGCAAAGGATCTATCCTTCCTCACTCGCTCTCGGCGTCGTTCGGTGTTGGCGAGGCAGAAATGTCTCTCGTAAGGTATGCCAATTGTATGTCAATAAGGTTCCAGTCCTCTCAACTGTAGATGCGGAGGCAGGCTGGTAATATGTGTGTCGGGCGTGTATGCCATGTTCCTCGTACGTCCTCTGCCTTCACCCCGCAGAGCCCGTCATCACCTTTCCAACAGCTCTGGGCCATCGCCCAAGAACGACGTACGCTATTTGCTTGTTTATTCGTCGCAGACTTGCTCACTTGTTTGCCTCGCGATCAGTGTCCGTGCCGTTTAGGTCGACGGTCCCCCCGCACACGTCCGACAAGTTCCACTTCCCGCTGTTCATGGGCACGTGCCAGAGCATCCTCTCGTCGCTCTCCGCGCTGCTCTACCTCCTGATCCGTCGCCCGCCGACGTCCACCGTCTCCCTCTCCCACATCCTCGGCCTCTCCCCTCCTCCCCCTCCCCCTCCCACCACCAAAACCCAAACCAACGGCTCAGCCAAACCCTCTCCCCCTCCTCCCCCAAAGTCCCTTCTCCGCAGCTTCCTCCAAATCTCCCTCCTCTCGACGCTCGCCGCGCCGTTCGGCTTCGCCTCGCTCGCGCACGTCTCCTACCCCTTCCTCGTGCTCGCCAAGTCGTGCAAGCTCGTCCCCGTGATGCTCATGAACATCCTCGTCTACCGCCGCGCGTTCGCGCCGCACAAGTACGCCGTCGTCGCGCTCGTCACCGCCGGCATCGCGCTGTTCATGCACTTTGGCGAGGGCCAGCGGTCGTCCCGGACTGGCAGCAAAGGGGAGGGGGACGGGAGGAGCCCGTACTTGGGCCTGCTGTACCTCCTCGTGAACCTCCTCCTGGACGGGCTGACGAACAGCACGCAGGACGAGATCTTTAGAATGTACAGGCACCTGACGGGCCAGCAGATGATGTTCTGGATGAACGTCTTCGGCACGGGCGTGTCGACGCTCCTCGCCGTCCTGCCCCTCCCGTACATCCCCGTCATCCACCCCTCGCACGGCGCGCACGGCGAGTTCGGCGAGGCGCTCGCGTTCGTGCGCACGCATGAGGGCGCGGGGCGCGCGTTGTTGGGCTTCGCGGTCACCGGCGCGGTGGGGCAGCTGTTTATTTTCGAGACGTTGCAGCATTTCGGGAGCCTCACGCTCGTGTAGGCGTCTTCTTTTTCCTTTTCCTTGCGTGAGGTTCTGATGTGTGTTTTGTGGGGTAGGACGATCACGCTGACGCGCAAGCTGTTCACGATGCTCCTCTCCGTCGTCGTGTACAATCACACGCTGACCGCGGGCCAGTGGCTCGGCGCCGCCGTCGTCTTTGCGGGTATATGTCTAGAGGCCTACGTTAAACGGAGAGGTGCGTGTCCGTATACCCTAGCATCTCTTATGTATGCACTGACATTCGCTGGTAGACGTGCATGCGAAGCGGGTGGTGCAGGAGAAGGAGAAGCCGGCGCTGAAAGAGCTGTGATGTGTTGTAGACTCTAGAGTGGTTTGTGTGATATTGTTACTAATGTTTAGAGGATGGACTAGACCGGCCTTGGAGGAGGGGTATTTATTCAGTTGCTTTCTATCCACGTTGACGTCCAGAAGCTCGGGTCTGCAACCAGATATCATCTGTTCCCGTGCGTGTATGTATTTTATCGATGCTGGTGCGAGGTTCGTGCTGCCTGGACGTCCGCGACGGCGCCGCGTGTCCGTGGAGTCTTTTCGGGCCCTTCTCTGCGCCCGATGCAAGGGAGGTTTGCATGTGTAGATAGGAACAGGACCCTCGATTGGGGTTACGGTTCCGGTTCGGATTCTGCAATTGTGGGCGGCGAAATGCTGTGGCTACATGATGTGTACTCGGACATTTGGACATACTCGTTCCTTTGGTAAGAAGAGAAAACGTGGACAGGGCAGAAGATAGAGACGAGCATATTGACGCGATTATAACCCAAGATAATAGGATAGGTATACTGATACGGGTACTGACTGGAAGACGAAGCACAGAGCACACGGGAGAGGAGAAGGAGAAGGGGGAAGGAGAAGTTAAGTCTGCATGGCGTCCGGGTCGGCCGTGTCCTCTGCGAGCGAGGGCCGCTTCGGCTGGAATCTGCGAGGAGTCAGAGGACGCAGAGAGGAGAGAAGGAGATACTTACTTCTGCTCGTCTTCGTCGTCGTCGTCTTCGCGTTTTCGCCGCGAGACGACGCGCTGCTGTGGCGGGTGCGAGGCGACTGCTTGTGTGGCTTTGTAGATGGATTCGTATTCCTGCGCCGTTGATGCTACGTTTAGAAGAGTACGGGAGCGACGGGATGGACGGACAAACAGCGCACCTTGATCTGCGTCAGGAAGCCGCCGTTGGGGCTGATGCAGTACCGCCGGTTCTGGACGTAGTGCAGCGCGTCCTCCCACGAGAGGTGGTAGTGCTGCATGACGAACATCACGACGAACGCGGGGGAGAGGGAGATGCCGCCTGCCGGGCGGAGCGACGTCAGATTGAGATATGCAGGGATGCAGGGAGGGGAGGACGCACCGTTGCAATGGACGAGCACGCGCCCGCCTTGGGCGATCGCTTGGTCGATGAATTGGCGTGCGCTGGGTATGAAGGGCTCAGTCAGTGCCACCCGGCTAGAAGGGCCTTGGTGGATGGAGGGATGACGTACGCGGGGAATAGCCGGATGAGGTTCTGCTCTTCACTGTCCTCGACGTCCAGTGTGAGGTAGACAAAGTGCTCTGGGAACCGGGGCTTGACGGAGAAGGCTTCCTTCGCGTCGCGGATGCACACGCTACCAGCGGGGAGGAGGCGTGTCAGAGACGAGAGAGGATGAGAGGCACAAGGTGGGGGCAGCGTACATGTGCGTGACGCCCATACCTTGTAGGGTTGGTAGGGATTTGGATACCTGGAAGGGCCCGAGCAGGAGTCCTGGGAGGATCTCCTGGCACTCGCGGCGCATTTCGTATCTGCATACCCACAAAGGACGTTCAGCATAGGATTCCAGTGGAGAGGAACGATGCGACGCACTTCCACTCGACATCCCCGGGGCCCTGGATGAGTTCCCGGAGCTGGTCCTCAGTCAAGCCCTCTTCTTTCTTCACTTGGCCTGCAGCTCCCGCGTCCATTGGTTCCTGAGTGACCGGTGAGGACGTGCAGAAAAGGAATGGTAATCGTGCCGGTCAGCAAGCTAGAGGGCTTGCGCGTCCGCCGTCGGTGATGGTGAGCAGGAGAGCGTGTCCGCCCTTGTCGCGTTCGTGCCGCCGGTGCCTAATGAGTGTTTGGACCAGATCCGGCTAGATCTCGTGCCACAAAGCCGAGTGCCACAGCGTAATTCAGCATTCGGTTTGCGCAGTCTTACATTGAGGCTTCAACTCACACCTATCCATTGGAAAGGAGACGAATCAAAATGAATATGAGCGTAGAAGATGCTCCGTAAGTCACAGATTGTCTTGTGAGATTCTCCTGCCTTGACAACGCGTCATGCGTGTAGGGTGCTCGTCGAAGCCGAGGACGTCGACGAAGACATACCGTGAGTTTATCAATTTTGTGCCTTTATCTACCTATAAACTCTCGGTGGGTGTCTAGGGTGCTCGTTCCGGTAGAAGATCCAGTCTTGGAGAATGATGCGATACCTGAAGCACCAGGCGTCCCACTGACTATCATATGCGGGTTCTTGGGTGCCGGGAAGTCAACGCTGGTCAAGTACGTTGTGTGTTATGCATATCTTATTCAGATTAGTAACTACGGGGTGTGATCGTCTAGACGAATCTTGACGGAACACCATGGCTATCGCATAGCAGTCATAATGAATGAGTTCGGAGACACGGCGGTGAGTGAAGCATGATGAGACACTGAGCCGTGACGTTGACCATATCTGTGTAGGACATCGAATGTATGTGAGTGACGACGAGGCGTTGTGCTCAATTCTTGATTCACGATCCCTCCTCGATCTTTCACAGCCCGGACGATCAACGTTACTTCTCCTGACGACCCCTCAACGGAGGGCTCCGAGGAAGTTCTCGAGCTGCCTAATGGGTGTCTCTGCTGTAGCATCAAGGACGTGGGCGTAGCAGCCATTGAGAAGCTCATGGAGAAGAAGGGCGCGTTTGACTATATCTTGCTGGAGACGACGGGGTTGGCAGATCCAGGTGAGTGCTATCCTCGTCTGCACAGTTCATGAGAAGGACGGAAATGTGCAGGTCCTATCGCGTCGCTATTTTGGCAGAACGAAGAGTATGCGTATGGGCTGGGGAAGGATATCAGGCTGGACGGCGTCGTGTGTGTCGTAGACGCTGTCTTCGGGCGAAAGGTGCCTGCTCTTCCCTCCCTTGCTCGTTAAAATCTCACGTTTACGCCCGTTCTCCAGCAAATGCTAGAAGACGAAGCCGTCGACGGCGTCGGCGAGAGTCTCAGGCGCGTCCGTCTAACACTGCAAGCCAAACGCGCTTGCTTACTCACACATGATACAGGCAGATCGCATGCGCCGACGTAGTCCTCCTGAACAAGGTTGACCTCGTCTCTGATTCGGAAGTCGAGGAGACGGAGCAACTCATACACAAAGTCAACCCTGCGGTGACGGTGCACCGCACAGTCAGGGCACAGATCGATCTGGGCAGTGTAGTGGGCATCGACGCGTACGCCTCGCGCATGCCGTCCAACGCTAGACACAATCACGACCACTCGGCGCACGACCACGAACACGAGCACGATGCGCCGGCCCCGACGCACTACGAAGTCCGCGGCATCACGAGCCTGCAGGTTCCCTGCCCGGTCCTCTCCCGCGCGCATTTCGACCGGCTCGACGAGTGGATCCGCACCGTGCTATGGGAGGGCACGCTCCCGGCATCCGAGTCTGAGTCCCTGTCGGGGAATCTGGAGGTCCTGAGATGCAAGGGTATGTTCTCGTGCCGGGACGGAAAGAGGTATGTCCTGCAAGGTGTTCGGAATATCTACGATATTTCGGAGATGGATGGTGCTAGTGATAAGGCCGGCGGTCGGGGTCAGGATGTGGGAGTGCCAGAGATGGGGAAGCTGGTGTTTATTGGGAAGGGGCTGGATGAGGGGGTTCGGCGGAGTCTGGAGGCTGTCTTGCGATCATAAGCATTGGCCGATGTGTGTTGCTCGCGTCTTATTGATATTCTCCTGCAATCAATCTTGACCATCTGCATGGTTATGGAGACGGGCTCTGATGGATGTCAGAAATATATTTCAGGTGAGTGCGGTGTAATTTCGTGCAGTTCTTGTGCTTGGCAGCACCTACATTTCTTGCGCGCTAAAATTTCCAGCCCTGCTGCGAGTGCATCTCCGGTCCTTCGCCGCAGTGTTGTTGTCGTCCAGCGTTCCATCACACCCTGCTTCAGGCTGTTCTCTTTCTATGCAGATCTGTCATGCAGATGCTAGTCGCCAGAGGCTGCAGGGGACTTTCCTCTGACAACGAATCTACGGAGTGCACAGGCGATAGATGGATACAGACAAATCTGTACACTGAGGTGCGTACTGCGCTGTGATCTAAGCAGTACGACTTGGCGGCGTGGACATCTCACGCACTACAGAACTTGACCGCGGATGCGGTTGTTCGTCCTGGGACTCTGGCTCGCCCTGTGCATCGACAGATGAAGCTGGCAGGATCGGTCGTAATGGTTCTACAGGATGCAACGGGTCCTCATCCCGGTTGTCTCTAGATGCAATCTCTACCATGCCCTTCGTTCCAGCCTGCTGAAGGCCGTCCTCGCCACGTCCCACCATTCCAGCTCGTTAGGGCGCAGCTCCCCTGGGAAAACGATCGGCAGGAGGGAGGCACCTACGCCTGGGTATCGCTCCTCACACTTCTGAAGTGACCCCATCACCTTCTTTTCTCCGAATTCCTCGACAAACTCCAGCGGGATGCCTGCTTGTACGGGTGTCCGGCTGGCACCCGCTGCAGTTACATTTTGCATCATCCCCAGCAGCCCTATAGCCATCAGATACCAAGTGTCCTTGGTGATACCGGCAACTGTAATCAACAACGCGAGCCAAACGACTGCGAGAACAGTGAGGCTTTCTCGGGTGCCCTTGACTACTGTTACTCTTCCGGTGGCCGGGTCCTCGAGGTTGAAGCCATTCTCGCATCCTTTGATAACTACGATTAAGCGTCCGCCATTTCCTCTCGTCAGGGACACGAGCTTGTTTCTCCTTCGACAGGCCCATTTTTCCTTTCTCCACTGCGGGAGCGCTCCATGGATAAGAGCCAATGAAGTACCAGCCGCCGTGACGAGGAATGTTGACCAGTCATTGTGGAGGATCCAGGGAATAATCGAGATAACGAGTTGTATGATCATGACCATGACGCCCGTCAGCAGTATAGGGTCTCGCACCCACCGACGCACCGTCCGGGAACGATAATCTGGATTACACGCATCGTATACACGGATCCAAAGAGGAGAGAACCTCTTCGTCCCTCGACGTGTGTGCTCTCTAAGTCGCGTAACAGACGCCCTAGCACCCATGACTTGTTGTCCCTCGTATAGCCACTTTGGGTGCTTACCACCAGCGAGGGGCAATCTGTTTCAGGCATAAGTTTGCCATCGCCGAAGGACGACATTAGCGCGGCGAAAGCGTAGGCAATCCAACCAAACGAGAAGGCGACTGGTGTGAAGTAGTATCCGGAGACTTGCGCGAGCGCTTTCTGGATGATGTCCCCGCCTATCAGTAGGAGTATCGAGAGAATATCAGACGGGGATCGCCATTGTCGGCGGCTTATGGTGGACGGCGAGGACATTCTGCTCTTGGTATGTGTACAGTATGAGGGAATCGACAGGCATTGATGCTGCATGTCTCCGCATTAACTTCCATCCTTCGAAATGAAAGCAGACGCCCCAAACCATATCAGATCCACCCTTTTATGAATAGGTGGGCGCCACTCACAACCTTAGGCACTCACCGTCTATCTTTGGCCTTGTTTGCGGAAATTTGTGGTGGGTATCGATCCGGCCAGCGGCGGTCCTGGAACCCATCGCCTTTCGGCGAGACCTGCACACTCGAAGCACACAGACGTACGCCGATTGCCTAGTTCGCCATTGGTGTCGACAGCTTACAACGCGCAGCCGGACAGACTATGCCTACCATTATATATGAAGAGGCCATACCAGGACACGGCGAGCAACCTGTGGATATCACCATATCCGCTACGCCAGAGCGATATCGCTTAGCGGATTGCAGGGCGCTCGTGGAGGATGACGTGTTTGTGCCTCCAAGAATTCACAGACAGAGAGAGCATGAAATACTCCGCGATTTCCTACGTATGGAGAGGGCTAGGTCTGCTGCCCTCCACGGAAAATAGGTGGCTCAAGATCAAACAGGATGAGCGGGGAGACCGAATCAATGTCGAGGTCCTATGCCATGCTGCTGCTGCATCCTTGCATCGCGGAATCCCTCACATCTGGATGGACCGGTTATGCATCATGCAGACGAATACAGATGACAAGAATTGGCAGATTCGCAAGATGTTTGGAATATATCAAGATTGCTCCCTCTGCATTGTCCTCCCAGGAGGCATGCAGCGACTGGTCCGACTAGATGAGGAGACCACTTGGATACATCGTGGCTGGACACTACAGGAAGTCTTGGCCCCTCCAGAGGTTCATGTTCTTTTCGAATGGAGACTGGGGTCAGGTGAGGCTCGGGGTGGTGAGGGAAAGTTGCAACACGTCCAGGAGGTCATGATCAAGGAGTCTGCTATGGCTTCCATGCCGATGATCCTGGAGGCATGTACTGTGGGGTACCTATCCTTCACATCGACGGAAAGGAACCAAGCCAAACCATATATGGTTAAGGCAGCCATGTTCAGCGACATCGAGAGCCACTCATATAATGACCCGCCCTTTTGGCAACCACAGAGGAAGGTTCTCGCACCTAACATCGCTGCCCTCACTGTCGCCATGGACCTGGAAGGCATCTTCGACACCACCGCAAAGAATTACGCAATTTGGCAGAGTTCACTCATGCGAACATCGTCGAGGCCGGTGGACATGGTCTTCAGCATCATGGGCCTCTTCGGCGTCACACTTGATACGAAAAGCTTCTCCAGAAATGATCGCCTTTGTGCAACCATGGCCCTAGCCTCCGAGATTTTGCGCAAGCGCGAAGAAGCATCATGGCTCGGCGTAGCGTTCCGCATTGCACCTTGCAGGTATCTGTCGACGTTTGCCGCATTCCCGCAAACAAGTGTCGCCGGTAAAGCTCTGGTACCGACCAAAGAGGGTGGGCAACAGGTGTCCCATTTGATCACCAACGAGTATCCATATGTAGACGCACTCTGCCCTATGCCTCACGGCAGCATGGATGAGCATGGTTATCTCAAGTTCGAAGGGAAAGCCGTTCCTATCACCAGGCTTCTACAAAAAGCCGAAGGGTCGCAGACTGATCAGGCACAGGTTGCCCCTACACGACCAAGTGTCATCACCGCCGTGGATGGCTCACGCTGGAAAGTCAGGAAAGAGAATGATTCGTTGGAGCAAGCAGTGGATAGTGGAGCAAGACCGGAAGTGACAGGCGGGGCGGAGGCGTTTGTTGTCCTGTTGGGCTGGTTCAATGAATATTATCCGGGTGGAACACCAGCCCACGACGCCAACAACATACGGGCGATGCTTCTGCAGGAGCATGACCCAGAGGGACGGTGTTATCACCTGCGAAGCTATGTATACCTGAGTCAGCGCACATACAGCTGGGTCAAGAGCTGGAAGGAATACCCTTTCCTAGTGGGAGGCCCGGACACCTTCACGGAATGCGATGGCACTGAGAGTTCTTCTAGTGAGCTTGTGGAAATCGTGGTTCCAGAAGCGCGATACCCATTTCCCTCAAGCTCACGGAAGGATGTCACACTGAGGGACCAAGTAATACGAAAGTCGAGATGGGCCGTGGACCAGCGGATCCTGGAGAACATGCTGCAGAGTCCTCCAATGGAGCGATTGTGTGATTACGCAGAAAGCAATACCCCTATACATTACCTAGGGTAGTAAAATAGTACAACGTACCTAAATCTTAGCCCTTGGAAGGACGTGGAGCGAACTGAGACACCTGTGAAGACCGAACTGCAGACACCTCTGCAGACCATGAACAGACCATTCTGGCTGGCTATAGCTACACGTCTTACTGTTGCTCATGTCTAAGAAGGATCTCCCTCGACGACGATCAGCCTGGGAGATGGAATTTTCCACGCGATTGGGTGAAGGGTGGAGGCAAGGGGTGGCTCTGAACTTTGACGGAGACGTGACGAGGCGTGCTGGCTGCAACCGTGTCGCCGCGTGTATCCTTGATATTACCGGGGATAGATGACAGAAAATAACAGGTAGCGGAACGGACTACACCTGCTGCACTCGACCGACCATTGCCCCCCCCCCCCCCCGAATGTGTAAGGGTAGCGAGGCTACACTGGAACACTGGCAAGCAAGCTACAGGTCACGGTGTAGCTTCCGTGACCGTAAACTTACATCCATACCCTAAGGTTAGGGTTTAGGGATGCACGCACATCAGGGGCGGTAAGTGATTAATTGATTCAACGGCCATCCCACCAACGATACATACGATACAATCTCATTCTACAGCCCACCATGACCTACAGGGGCCGAATCGGCTTGGGAGGGTCAACTCTATCAAAGTGAGCCGTGCTCGCCATGAGCATGCTGGGCTTGGTCCCATCCCCCTGTCACGATCGTCAGTGTTGGTTCCTCAGTTTCTAGAGACAAGACCACTCACGATGAACCAAGAGGGAAAGCCGGGATTGAAGGGGATGATGCTCTCGATGTAGGCGATCTGCTCGTCGGAGAGGGAGATGTCGAGCGCCTGGATGTTGTCCATGAGGTGCTCGATCTTCCTCCCGCCGATGATGGGGAAGACGTAGGGCGCCTTGTGCATCACGTATGCGATGGCGACTACAGATGCTAGTGAATACCCGCGCATACAACCATCCAAAAACACGAGACACGCACCAGCCGTGATACTCTTCGCACCCACCTCCCCGGCGACCTTCTCCAGCGCGCGCGATACCTTCTTCTCGTCCTCATTCCGTTCCCAGTTAGGGTCCATCGCCATCCGTCCCTTCTCGCCCGTCTGGCGCCTGCGCTCCTCCTCCGCGTCCGTGCGGATCTTGCCCGCAGCCAAAACGTTCCACGGTGCGAGCGCCATGCCCCACTGGCGCGCCATCGGGATGATGTCGCGCTCAAAGTCGCGCGCCATGACGTTCCACGCGCCCTGATACACGCAGAACGGCGTCTTCTTCGCGTCGCGCGCGTACTGGTTCGCCTGCGCGACGACCCACGCGGGGGAGTCGCTGATGCCCAGGTACAGGACTTTGCCCTGCAATACGAGTGTGTGCAGCCCGTCCATGACCTCCTCAATGGACGTGTCCCAGTCCCACCAGTGCACGTAGAGGATGTCGATGTATGAGGTGCGGAGTTTCCGGAGGGAGTCGGTGACGGAGATGAGCATGGATTTGACGTTGTTCCCTGTGTAGTTGGCTTTGATCGCGATGGCGTCTTGACCGCGTTTGTAGTTGGTGGTGTACTGCGCGGGCGTTAGCTTTGAGGCAGCTGCGACGGCAGGATGAGGGACTTGCCTTGGTGGCGATGATGAGTTGGTCGCGGATGCCCCGCTTCTCCGCCCATTCGCCGATGAACTCCTCTGAACTCTCATCCTGACTGTATGCGCGCATACATCAGTGATTGCTAGTATTTAAGTATGCTGCAGACGCCACTCACTAGTTGTTCGCAGTGTCGATAAAGTTCCCGCCGGCGTCGTAAAAGGCGTCAAGGAGCTTGAACGACGCCTCCTTGTCCATCGCACCCATGCCGTACTGCGCCCACTTGTCGCCGATGCTCATCGCACCGAGCTGGAGCGGCGAGACGTGCACGCCCGCGAGCTTCGAGAGCTGGCGGTAGCGGCCGAGCTTGGTCTTCGGCGGCGGAGGGGGGCCCCAGAGCGACATTATGGTGAGAGTATGGGTGGTGAATGAGAGGGGCGAGAGTACGAGACGTGGGTTAAAGGGGATGGGCGGGACGGGTGCACGCTATTTATGCATGAAGCTTGGGATAACGGTGAACTGGACTCGGAGGGGCGCGTCAAGTGACGCGGCCCCGACCTTCGCTCGAAAATGAGAAGAGTATAGCGTGCGTGTAAGGCTAATCTATTGAGGATAAATCCATCCTTGTCAGCGTCGATTTCGCATTGGAAGATACACAATCCCGTACCTAGTACCACTCCGAAATGGAGCGCGAGTCCTAGCGGTTGCATAGAATACAATGGCATACGGAAGCCGACTTGGGTACGTCGCCCCTCGGCAGTCCGGATAACGGGTCTAAGTTTCAGGGCAGCGGGCAAGTTCACCGCTGAGGCAAATGTGTTGTCCATAGGGAAGGAACATAGTAAACTTCCGTTTGTCTCGTCTGAAGCGACAAAGGCGAATGCTGAAGCAAGTCAAAGCTGGCCATCGTGGCCGGCGATGTGGGCGCTTGTGTGTGCGTCGTCGGCACCGACCGACTCAAGATACGATCGCGATCCAGTCAAAGCTTGTTTTCCGGTGCCGTCTGTGACTTCGTCGTAGGATACATACGCGACCACCCTTTGCCTTCGTCCTCATCACAAATGTCGACTTCAAAAGCCGAGGACGTCCGCTGCGTCACCTGCTGCGGCCATGTCGACCATGGCAAGACCACAGTCATGGACGCGCTCCTCGCTGCGAACAACATCATCTCGCAAAGAATGGCCGGAAAGCTGCGCTACCTGGACAGTCGAGAGGACGAGCAGGAGCGAGGGATTACCATGGAGAGTAGTGCCGTCTCGCTCAAGTTCCAGGTCAAGGAGGGAGGTACGTGCTCAGTGGATGCTCGGCGGACTGGTTGACAGAGTCTTATAGGAAGCTCGCTGAGGACGTATATAATCAATATGATCGATACACCTGGACATGTAGATTTCTCCAGTGAGGTCTCTACTGCATCCCGGCTTGTGGACGGGGCTCTTGTACTTGTGGATGCTGTGGAGGGCGTATGCACGCAGGTAAGTCGTGATCTCACTTATGAGCCGTGGTCCCACATCTCTCAGGACTTCATTGTATACTCGCCCTTCGTCGAGGTAGCACTCTTGTGTCGCGATTCATGCGACTGTCTATACTACCTCACTTTTGGTCATACTTTCCATACAAGCATTAACTAATGATACCACTGTTACTTGCAGACCATCGCCGTCCTCCGACAGGCCTGGCAAGACCGCCTCAAGCCCATCCTCGTCATCAACAAAATTGACCGGCTCATCACCGAGCTCAAGCTTGCGCCCGTCGAGGCCTACCACCACCTCGCGCAGCTCATTGAGCAGGTCAACGCCGTCATGGGCGGCTTCTTCGCCTCGGAGCGCATGGAGGACGACCTGCGCTGGCGCGAGGAGCGCGAGCGGCGGCTCGCGTCCAAGAAGGAGGCGCACGCGGCGGAGGCGGACGCGATAGTCAACGAGGGCGAGGAGTTCCAGGAGAAGGACGACGAGGACATCTATTTCGCGCCAGAGAGGGGCAATGTGATCTTTGCGAGCGCCATTGACGGGTGGGGGTTCCGTGTGGGCAAGTTCGCGCAGTTGTTCGCGGCGAAGCTGGGGATCAAGGAGGGGAATTTGAGGAGGGTGCTTTGGGGCGATTTTTATTTGGACCCCAAGACGAAGCGCGTCATCAGTCATAAACATCTGCGCGGGCGGGCACTGAAGCCGCTGTTCGTGCAGTTTGTGCTGGAGAATCTGTGGGCCGTGTACGATGCCGTGTCGCTCAACCCGTAGGTGTGTCGCCATCTCTACAATACCGCTATTACTGAACGTACTACTCAGGAACCCAGAAAAGGTGAATAAGATCGTCACATCGCTCAACCTCAAAATCCCGCCCCGCGACCTCAAGTCGAAAGACGCGCGACAGCTGCTCTCGCAGATCCTCACGCAATGGCTGCCGCTTTCCACGGGTATCATCCAGGCGGTCATCGACGTCGTCCCGCCGCCCTCCGAGTCGCAGCGCTTGCGCATCCCCAAGATGCTCTACCCGGACCTGCACGAGGCGACCGTCGCGCCTAAGTCAAAGTTGGAGGAGAATCTGTACGCGTGCGATGCGCGGGAGAGGGCGGCGGTGGTTGCGTATGTGAGCAAGATGTTCGTCTTGCCGGATCGGGAGCTGCCTGAGAATAAGGCGCGGCCCTTGACGGCGGAGGAGATGAGGGCGCGCGCGAGGCAGGCGCGGGAGGCGAGGGAGAGGGCGGGGCAGCCGGCGGAGGCGAACGGTACCCCTATCGAGGCGAATGGGAACGGTAGTGGGGAGGAGAAGAAGGGGACGGAGGCGATGCAGGAACCGGGGCCGGGGAATGTAGAGGACGATGGGGAGGCGGTGTTGGGTTTTGCGCGGCTTTATTCGGGGGTTATCAAGCGCGGTAAGGATGTGAGGTGTGTCTTGCCGAAGTACGATAATGCCCTGGGCCCCTCCCATCCAAGGAATCGGAAGAGAGTGTTGGAGGCGCACGTGGAGGGGCTTTACTTGATTATGGGGAGGGAGCTGGTCCCGGTGGAGAGCGTGAGGGCGGGGAACGTGTTTGCCATCCGGGGACTCGAGGGGAAGGTGTGGAGGAGCGCGACGATATGTGCGCCTGGAGAGGGAGAAACGGATGTCGACGGGTGTTTGGTGAACCTTGGGGCGGTATACCAAAACGTGTGTATGTCTTCATGGCCTGGTTGCGGGATACTGAGCTTTCCTTTCCATGTAGGCCGCGCCGATTGTGAGAATAGCGGTGGAGCCGGAGTCGCCTGCGGATATGCCGAAATTGGTGCGCGGGTTGAAGCTGCTAAGCCAGGCGGACCCCTGCGTGGAGACGTTCCAGCAGCAGACAGGCGAGCACGTTATCTTGGGCGCGGGCGAGCTGCATTTGGAGGTGAGGTCTTGCTACCCTGGTCCACGATGTGCAACGGCTCACGTTAATCCCAGAGGTGCTTGCGGGATCTGAAGGATCGGTTCGCGGGTGTTGCGATACACGGGTCGGCGCCGATCGTGCCTTTCAGAGAGACGGCGGTGAAGGGCGTGGACATGCCACCGCCCAAGTTCGCCCCGGCGAAGCGGGGCACGATCAAAGGCGCAACAATCCACAATCTCGTGAAGTTTACGATACGCGCGGCCCCGCTGCCGAAGCCGCTGCACGATTTCATTCTGGACAATCTCATGATCCTGAAGCGCATACAGCGCGAGCGTAAGTCGCAAGGGGAGGAGGAGGCGGAGGAAGAGGAGGAAGTGGGGCTGCAGGACGAGGTGTATAGGAAGCCGACGGTGAAGCCGGAGAATTTTTGGACAAGTTTGAAGGAGGAGTGTGTGAAGGTGGGGGGCGAGTGGGCGGATGTCGCGGACAGGATATGGGCGTTTGGGCCGCAGGGCGCGGGGGCGTGCATCCTCGTGGATACGAGGTGGCCGGTCAGTCCGAATTCGTGCGTTCTCCTCTGAGGGTTTCACTATACTGTTAAGGATCTGACTGATGGGATTGTGTAGGTTGCGTAGGAGGATGGACAGGTTGAGGGCGGGTGAGGATAAGGAAGTGCAGAGTGCAGCGGAGCAGTCGATGCGAGACTTGGAGGGACATGTCGAGACTGGGTTCCAGTTTGCGACGTTCCAAGGGCCACTGTGCGCGGAGCCGGTTGAAGGTCTCGCCTACTTCCTGGAAAGTTTCGAGGTGGATGAGAACCGGATCGAAGAAGAAAAACGTGAGCGTCTTCCAGACCTGGCTTTACATATTTATCACGTGCTTCTGTAGAGCATAACAGGATTGCACAAGTTACTGGGTCGTTGATCTCTGCTGTGAGGGAGGCGTGTAGAAATGGTCTGCTGGACTGGTCACCCCGTCTGATGCTCGCAATGTATACATGCGACATCCAAGCTTCTAGTGAGTCTATTCAATCTTCCTTGGAAGGGAGTGAGAGTACTGAGCCGTTACCATGCAGCTGAGGTGCTGGGCAAGGTGTACGGCGTTGTGGCTCGCCGACGAGGGCGTATTGTATCTGAAGAAATGAAGGAAGGCACGTCATTCTTCAGCATAAGAGCGCTGCTACCTGTCGTGGAGAGTTTTGGGTTCGCAGACGGTGCGTATTTTCCCTTTGGCCGTGAGGAAATACCGATGTGCTGCTATAGATATCCGGAAACGGACTTCCGGAGCTGCCAGTCCTCAACTGATCTTTAGCGGGTAAGTTATTCATATTATGTTTTATTATTCGTGCTCACTAGCTCTGCAGCTACGAGTTGTTGGATCAGGATCCGTTCTGGGTACCCACGACTGAGGAGGAGCTCGAGGATCTCGGTGACAAGGCTGACCGGTCGAATGTGGCAAAGACCTACATGGATGCGGTGCGAGAACGCAAGGGGATGTTTGTGGACAGAAAAATTGTCGAGTTTGCGGAGAAACAGAGGACGCTCAAACGATAAATATATAGTTGTAGAGCGTTGTGTATGTTACCAGATTTGCAATGCAGTGGTCAGTCCGGAAAGGTTCACCTTTGCGACGCGCGGCCGGAGGCATTTCATTTGCGTATTCCAGCTTTTGCTTATGTAAGCAGATTGTAGCGAAGGATGGACGGACGCTTCCCCCATCATCAATCCTAGCTTCCCGCCTCTGCTGTCCTTCTCGTCCAATATCGAGCTCGCCGTCGTCGCTGACTCAGTCAGCGCTCGCGCTACATGGCCGCTCTGGCATCCTCCGCTTACTCCGGTGGTCTGCATCCTCGGATGGCCAACTCCTCTGGCGGTACTGTCGATCATGCTCAACAAGCTCCAGCGGAGGACGAACAGTTTATCACGACGTTCTTTTGTAGAGCACTGTACGACTACGAAGCTCAGGATGCTTCAGCCCTATCCTTCCGACGGAACGATGTCATCGAGGTCCTGACGAGGCTCGACTCCGGCTGGTGGGACGGCTTGCTTGGCGAGGAGAGGGGATGGTTTCCTTCAAACTACGTGACCGTTATCTCGGATCAAGAGGCGGAGGCTGCCCTGTCTGGCTCAGAGGCTGCCCCTGCAGCGAACAGTTCCCAGGTAGATGCCTCCTCTGTCGTGGATATGGCACATAGTCTTTCCAGGGGTCAGCCTCAATCGGACAGCGAATGGTTAGATGGAGACACGGAGCTCGCGAGCGCACGGGACGCTATGCGGGAACTCGCATCGTCAGCTATGGCAAGTGGGACAGCCTCCAGTGATTTTTGGGTACCCGAGGTTACGCCTGATGGCCAAGTGCGTGTCGTTCAGTGTGCCCTGCAGTCCCGCGCGGTCTTATGTCTGCCCCATTAGATTTATTATGTCAACACCCAAACCGGAGAGCGTTCTAGAGACTTGCCCCCTGAGGATGAGGGCAGTAGGGCTGCGAACGACCTCAATACCATCGCATCACCATCGAGCTCGCGTTCCGGGACAAGCGCGGGAGCAAGCAGAAATGGGATAGCTGGTAATGCACCATCTGATATTGTCAGACCGGTGCAGGAGGCCTCAAGACCAGCCGGATTTGGCGTAAGCAAACGAACTGGTACGCCCGAGCCTTGGGTTCGGCGACTGGCAGACGACGGGATGTCGTATTACTATTACAACAAGGTGACCGGGCAATGGCGGTGGACGCTGCCAAATGCAGACTCTGGTACTAGCGACGATGAGCTCGCTCGCGACTTGGGCTACGACGACGTTCCTGGTAATCGCGACACCATCGTCGCACCAGGTGGTCGCCTGCGTTCAGAGTCATCGGTCTCCCGAACCCAGAGCAGCAGCGGTACTGGTGACCGTATGAGCGTCTACTCAGACGATTCAGACGTGCACCCTCGGGAGGGCGGGCGGTCAATCGCGTCCAGCACACAGCGCTCAAGGTCGACAAACGGGTACACCAGCGCCAACGGGCATAAAGCCCGATCAATGGAGCAGAATAGCGCACTGGAGCTGACTTCCGCGGAGCGACTAGCACAGACTTTGCAACAGGCTCTTGAGCCCTACCCTCCAGAGTCTGTCACCGATCTATCCGCTATAGCTCGCGAGGCTATCGCAGCTGTAGGGGATAGCATACGGCTCGACGGCATCACGCGACTTCGGGAACAGGATGACGTCCTTGATAGGCGTGTTCTGAATACTGTTCTTTCCATCCGTAATCTCCTCTACGTGTCGACACCCCCATTCGGTCAGGTCCCACAAGCCGCCCTTCCACCCAGTGCTCGCGACTACAAGTTCAACACCACCGCTCAGGCCTTGCAGAGTCATCTAAAGCCAGCACAGCGGAAGGTGACAGCGACGTTATCCAAATTAGTTCTCTCAGCGCGTGCTATGCAGTACGATTCCGGCTCATCTACCAACGAGACGCCCAATCGTATAGAAACTGATGTAGCAGAACTAGAGCGCGCCATCGTTTCGTTCGTAACTGAAGTGCAAAAATACCATAATCAAATGTCACTTCAGGAACGCCAGGTAAAATTTCCAACAAAGCGGCTACACGGGGTGTTTTCGACAGAAAACATAGGTCCTGGACTTCCCGGAGCCGGTTCAGCTGGCAGCTGGAAGGGGTTTGGATTTATTGCCACGGATAATAGAGAGAAGATTCCGTCCAAGGTTTTGTCCGCGGAGGCTGTTGCGGATGTCCGAGACCTGGAGCTTCGTGTTCACGAGCAGATCCGGGTCTTGATGACTTCATTGCGGGATTCCACCATGACGGCTGGTGAGCACGTCCTTTGAATATGACAGACCTCATAGGTTGACGCTTGCCACAGCCGTTGCTCCAGTTGCATCTAGTTGTCAAGCCATCGTAACGCACCTGTCGGCATTCCTCAGGTATGTGGGGGACATTTCCGTGAAGCGACATGTGGATGTACAGGGCATCCATGGTGCGTCTACGCTTCCCGCGCAGGAACAGGCGTACCTTCAAGCTGTGGACAAGGCTCGTTTACTTCTGCGTACTCTCGAGGCGGCAGCTCAGGCCCTGTATGACGACGGAGCTCTATTATTGGTGGCCATGCAGCATATGTCCCCCGATATGCGTGACAATCCATTGGATCTGGATTACCTCGACATCTTGGCCACTTCATTGAGATCCAATCTCAATATGGTCCAGGAGAGTCTCGAGTCGTTATTGGTTGTAGGCCAGGACCAGGCAGAGCTTGCTGGACCAGAGTATCAACAGTCGATCGACGCTGGTATAGCCCGTGACACGGCCTACAGCAGTGACATCAACTCGCTTTCCGATTCATTCCTAGAATCCGAGGCCGATGATATTGTTGATACGGAGCTTGCGCTCAGCAAGCCTCGCGGTCGTCTCTACACAAATCCGGACTCCATGTTCTCCAAGGGATCACAGTCTACGAATGACAGTTACCGCTCTGAGAGCAATACGGACATGCCGATAACACCCACTTGGTCTGGTCAGGATGCATCCATCGACCCCCTTATAAGCCCGACTTCGACTGGAGCGCCCGGTCTCAATATCGATGACGATACAAACTCAATATTTGATGACGAAGGTAATTGAGCTTGGCTTCGCTCCTCATTTCTTCTTACTTACTGATAGGCTATGCAGTGCCGGGTATGGTTAGTAAATCTCCGTCCCGGGGAAACAAGGGCAGCAAGCTCGCCAAGCTGCTCGGGGACGAGGTCCCGCGAGGAGTAGCAGAGAAAATGAATGCTAATGCGAAACCCTGGTATCTTCGTCCGACGTACGATTCCAACGAAATCATCATCGAGCCCGATGGTGCTGTTCGTGCTGGTACCGTCTATCAACTAGTACAGCGCCTGACAGCCCACGAGCATGGAGGTAAGCTCTTCCTGCTTTATATGCATCCTAATCTCATCCCGCTCGATGTTGCCCAGACCCCAATTTCAATAAAATCTTCTTACTAACGTACAAGTCATTCACTACCCTCGATGAGCTGTTCGACTTGCTTGTACAGCGCTTCTGGATACAGCCACCAGAGGAGCTTAATCCTCGGGAACGCGAGGAATGGGTCAAACTTAAGCAGAACATCATACGGGCGCGGTAGGTACTTAAGGTATCGGTATCGATCCATGGCTGATGGGACGATATGTAGCGTCCTGAATACCTTCAAATCTATGATCACAGAAGAAGGTTTCTTAGAGAAGGAGGACATGTACATCCTTGATCGGATCAAGAGCTTCGTTTCTGATCCACGGGTTATTCAGTACTCGGGAGCAAAGCAGTTACTGAGCTACATCGAGCGCATCGTAAGTGTGCTCCCTGTGACATATAGTGCAAGCATCTGACTATTGCTGAACAGCAACGGGGAGGCGAACCTACAGTCAAGATGACGAGTGGTTTCTCGCAGTCCCCTCCGCAGCCGATTGTGCCCAAGTCGAACAAGAAGCTGAAACTTACCGACATCCACGCTACGGAGCTAGCCCGTCAGTTGACTATCCTTGAGAGCAAGATGTTCATGAAGATCAAGGCGATGGAGTGTCTTCAGCGTTCGCGTTCCAAGAAGATTGGAGAGCACAATGACAGTATATCGGAATTCATCCAGACGTTCAACCGGGTACGTAGTCCGACTATTCGCTTCTCGCGTGTGACTGATATGATTTATTCCCTAAAGTTGGCGAATTGGGTAAAGGATGCTGTCCTGGCCAAGGAAGATTCGCGGAAACGAGCCTCTGCTATCAAGCATTTCATCATTACCGCGGAGGTGAGTGCAGTGGTGTAGATCTTGCGCCTGTGGCTGATAATATTGACCATGCAGCGTTGTCAATCGATTCATAACTTTTCCAGCATGGCAGCTATAGTCTCTGGTTTGAATGCTTCACCTATCACCCGCCTGAAGCGGACATGGGAGCAAGTTGGGGCAAAAGCTGTGAACACCCTGCAACAATGTCATATCAGCACGGACAAGAACTACCAGGCATACCGTGCGACGCTCGCAAAGATTACCCCACCATGTGTTCCATTCTTCGGTGAGATCTCTTGCTCGTATAGATATGCTCACCGTTAAATGTTCGTGCTTCACAGGGATATACCTGACGGACTTGACGTTCATCGGCGACGGCAACGCCGACACGCTCAACGGGAATATGGTGAATTTCCGGAAGCGGCAGCGGGTCGCGGAGATCATCCAGGAGATTAAGCGATACCAGTCGATCCCGTACAACTTCCAGCCGGTGCCGGTGATCCTGGCGTACATCGAGGAGAACCTGAACCAGTTCACGGCGCCGGTGGACTACGACGAACAGTTCTGGCAGCTGAGTCTCGAGCGCGAGCCGCGAGAGCGGGAGGACGAGAAGATGGCAAGACTGTTGCAGGAGAGCGGGTTCCTATGAGCCCCTTACTTCTGGGTGGTTGGATGGGTGTATATATTGCTGGATCTTCGGAGGTTTGCGGTTTTCCTTTGCTATTTTTTCGTGCGTCCTGCTGTGGGGATGTGCGAAGTTGCTGTAGTACTACTATTTCGGTTTCCTCCCCTCGCTCCCTCGATTGGAAGAAGAACACGTTTGCTTATAATTCACTGTATAATTAGCTTACGGCGGACTAGGCGGGATCAATGCGGTTTCATTTTATGCAGTAATAAATTCGCGAATAGCGATCGTCTGCCCAGCGACTCCGAGAGTCACAGTGTACGCGGCGTCGCGCCATCGCGCAGGCATGACGTCCTTCATCATCAGCGACCACCTCACGCGCAAGGTGCCCCCGTCGTGGGCGGCGCATGCAGACCCCGCCTGCCCGTTCTGCCGCATCGTCGCGGGCGCTGCGCCTGCCTTCCGGGTGCACGAGGACGAGCGGGTGGTCGCGTTCCTGGATATCATGCCGCTGCGCCCCGGGCATACGCTCGTGGTGCCCAAGCGCCATGAGAAGAGGGTGTCGGAGCTGCCCGCGGAGGATGCGGCTGCTGTGGGCGCGGCGGTCAGTCGGGTGGCCGGGGCGCTGGTAAGAGGTGAGTGGCTTTGTGGTTGGATGAAGGGGAAGCTGAGGTGTGGTGGTAGCGATGGGGAATACGGCGCTGAATGTGGTGTGTAACCAGGAGTACGCGCAGGCGGTTGATCATGTTAGTAGCATCTTAATATCTTTCCACCGGTGCAGGGTGATATACGGGTTGTCCCTGCAGGTACACTACCATGTCATACCGGCGCCGACGTTCGAGTCTTCAAGCAAAGTATCACCGGTTATGAATGAGCCGGATAAGGGTCCTAGGGGGCGTAAGGTGTTGACGCAGAAGGAGATGCATCGGAGGGAGTTCGAGAATAGGGAAGAACTGGATGAGGAGGAGGGGGAGGAGCTGGCGAAGAGGATCCGTGCACATTTGTGAATGGCAACGCAGCCAGAAACAACATTGTATCAAACTTGCATAAATGTCACAACATCGATGGTGGTAGACGGAGTCAGGTACTAGGAAGAAGAAAATCGTGCATCAAACAGCCAACGCCGGGAGAGGTGCGCGACGCGTCTGTGGCGAGCCTTTCGATCGCGATCAATAAATAAAGTTCCGTTTGCGACGCGTGTGGACGCGTCTCTCGACTTTCCATCGTGCATCCAGTTGCAATGGACACTGCCGAAACTCAAGAGGAGACCCTCGCTACCCAGGAGGCCACGGACGAGGCCATTCCCGAAGCTGGTCCATCGACGACACAAACTCCCAATGATGACACACCCGAGGCAGCTTCAGCACCAGCACCGAAGAAACGAGAAAGGAAACCACCGACTGCGTATGCGCGGCCCCTTGGCACATCGCCCTTGCCAATAGCGAGGGTACAGAAGATACTGAAGGCAGACGAGGTGCGTTCTTACAGTGCCTGGTACACGTGTTCTGGAGCAATGGGATGAATAAGGCTCATGTGAGTAGGAACTGGTGATGGTGCAAAGGGAAGCGGTATTGGCCATTGCGATTGCGACGGAGCAGTTTGTGAAGAGGCTGATGGAGGCAGTTCATAGAGTTGCGCTGAGGGAGAGGCGGACGACGGTGCAGCAGCGGGACATGCGTGAGTCTGGACTTGCTCTCCTGTCTAGTATCTGAATCACGTTGACATGCTCGTTAGTCTCTGTGGTGCGCAGGGCGGACGAGTTCTTGTTCTTGGACGGTATGTTTGTCCCGAGCTCGAAGATGTGAGTCTGTCACTTACGACGCCGCTTTCAGAGATTGTCCAAACCGTCGTGCCGAGTGAACCACCAGCGAAGCGGAAACCCAAGGCCCTTGAGAAACAGAAGCGACCAACAACGACGCTCCTGGATCAATTCGTCGGCGGAAAGCAGGATGAGGAAGGCGGGCCCGAGGAGGACATCGTTATGAACGAAGACGGCACAATGACTCTGCGAGAAAGCTGACGGATTGTATTTTGCCTCGTATATTTCTACCTTGTCTCTACCATATCATCTGTATCACCAATCCTAAGTGTGTCTACAAACGAAGATATGATGCCAATACACGCGTGGCTAAGAATACGATCGGCTCGTCTATCGCCTGTGCCGAGAGTACACCTTTGCCTCCGTAAGCCTCACTCTCCTGCAATCCACCGCCATGCGCGTCGTAACGACGTTCCATTCGCCGTCCTCCGTCGTCGCTTCAGTCAAATGCCGCCTCTCGCCAGACGGCGAGCACCTCGTCGTAGCCAAGCCCGACCGCGTCGAGGTCCACGCGCTCGGAGAGGACGCGCTCAAGTATGAGTGCAGCCTCGAGATATGGGGGCGGGTTGTCTCGGTGAAGGAGCTCCCGCGATACGTGCGTCGTTTGCTCTCATGCCGGACAGAACCTGAGCATGATAACAGGGATCGACGTACTCGAACGTGATCCTGCTCACGGATCACCCTGCGCCGCGCTTATACGTCCTATCACTGTCCACGGCAGCCTCGGGACAAGCGGAATTAGTGGTAGCGCACTCGCTCACCCTTACCGAGCGCCTTGCGCGCCCGCAGGAGTTCTACTGCGATGTGCTCGTCGACCCCGAGGGGCAGGTCGCCGTCGTGAGCTGCTACGCCGGCAAGCTCAAGGTCGTGGAGTTCGACAATGGGGAGTACAAGAGCGACTTCGACGCTCAGTAAGTCCACCATTACTCAGTGTCCATAGCTCAACCTGCGGCTCACGCTCGACCCCCACGCCCAGGTTCCCGGAGTACAACCTGCTGTCCATGTGCTTCCTCCCGACGTCCTCAGACACGTACTGCCTCGGCCTGCTGCACGTCGATTACGAGGGCAAGTTGCAGCTACTCTCGCGCGACCTCAGCCTCGCCGACTACGAGCTGTTCGCCGCGCCCTCGACGCTCCTCCCGTCCACCGCGCTCTCCGCCAGCGCCTTCCTTTCCATCGAGCCGGCGCCCACGCTCATCCCGATCTCCGCGTCGGAGGAAGAGGAATACGCGGGCGGCGTGCTCGTCGTGGGCGGGCGCAAGGTGCTGCTGTACGAGCTCGCGAGCCAGGACCTGCAGGACAAGCACAAAGGGAAGAGGAGGCGCCTCGAGGGAAAGAAGAAGAGCGCGAATCGCGAAGAGGCGGAGCGCGCGAGGGAGGAGGAGAAGGCGAGGGAGCGGAAGAGGCGCAAGCCGCGCGCGAGCGTCGAGTGGCCGTGGAGCGAGGTGACTGCGTAGGTGCCGGTGTGGATGGTTGTGACGAAAGGCTGATGGAATTTGTTAGGTGGTGCTTTGTGGATGAGGAGGGGAAGCGGGTGTTACTCGGGGATGGCTTTGGCAGGCTGGCGTTGTTGAGCGTGGATACGGACAAGCCTCTTTTGACACTTCTACCTCTGGGAACGGTGAGTCCTCTCCATTCTTCCTCCTCCGCGGTGGTTCAACAAGAGTAATTACGAAGACATCCCCTCCAACCTGCCTATCCTACCTAAATAACCAAATATTCTACCTGGGGTCCCACTACGGCGACCCGCAACTCCTGCGCATCCACCCGTCACCCGCCTCGTCCCTCGACGCGGACACACTCCCCATTCCTAGCAAAATTTCAACGATAACATCCGCAGAGCTTGTCAGCGGCGCCAAAGGCAAGGGGAAGGAGGCCGACACGACGGGGTACGTCCTCAGGACGCGCGGCACGTATGTGCAGGAGCTGCAGAGCTGGCAGAACGTCGCGCCGATTATCGACGCGGTCGTGGCAGATGTGGACGGGAGCGGACAGGTGAGCGATAGGAGGCGCCTGAAGGGCGTTTTGCTAACGTATTAGCAGAGAACGATTGTGACATGTTCTGGAGGTAAGAGCACTGGCTCGCTCAGGGTGATCAGGAACGGCGCGGATTTCCATGAGCTCGCGGCGCTAAGAGGGCTCGCACACGTCACCCACGTCTGGCCTCTACGATCCCGTTTCGAGACACCGTGAGTCCCTTACCTAGTGGCGCCCCTAGTCCTCCACTCACGCTGCATCCCGCATGTAGGACCCATTCGCACATCCTCGCATCCACGCCTACACAGACGCACGTCTTCCGTATAGACGGCGCGGAGGTGTTCACCTCGACAGCGGGCGGATTCGCGACGGACACCCGGACGCTGGCGGTGGGCAACCTCGCGCGGCGGATGCGCAAGCCCGGGCAGGCAGGGTCGTCCTACTCGGACTCACCGCTGGTCGTGCAGGTGACACCGGGGAAGGTGATCCTATCGGAGTTCGACCAGGCGCTTGGGACGTTCTCCAGGACTGGGGAGGAGTGGGTGCCGCAGTCCTTGAAAGAGAGGCACGGAGAGATTGTCGCGGCGAGTGTTAATGCCAGCCAGGTGGTGCTGGGCCTCAGCGGCGGGCGGCTTGTGGTTTTGAATTTAGATGACAATGATAAGTTTAATCTTGCAGGGTGAGCCGTCATTGTTTTTAATATTGGCGTGGGATACCGAGATTTGGAAATCTTACTCTAGGCAACGGCTCCTCGAAGATGGTACGAAGGAAATAGCGGCGGTGTCATGCCTGCCTATCGACCCTTCGAAATATTACTCCACGCAAGTTGCGGTAGCGTTCTGGGCATCCAATGAAGTCAAGGTCCTGTCCATTACCAGTGCCCAGAATTACTTAACGCCCGTCTGCGCCACGGGTCCTCTTCCCAGCCTACCCCGTTCTGTTTTGTTGTACAATTTTGGGACGGGTGTCAAGTCGGATAGTCGTGACTATGTCCCGCACCTCCTGGTCGGGTTAGCCGATGGAACCGCTCTAGCGTTCGTGTACAAAGACAATACCCTCTCCGACAAGCGAGTATTTTCGTTTGGCACTGGGCCGGTGTCGTTAACGCCATGTGAGGTGGACGGAAAGCGGTCAGTCTTCGCCTGTGCTAAGAGGTCGGGGCTGCTATTCTGGGAGAAACAGAGGCTGCAGCTATCGCCGATGTTGGTTAAGGTAAGGCTATAACATGTTCGTCGGCGACAGTGCTGAATGGTGTCACATAATCTAGGGAGTGGTGACAGTGGCACCTTTAAATAGTGATCACTTCCCCTCGTCATTCACCTTGGCCACCACAGGCGGGTTGACCATTGGGAAGATGGGTCATCTCGACAAGATGCACATACGATCGGTGAGTGCATAGACCTCATTTTGCACAAGATGCCTAGCAAACCCCTTCTATGCAGTTTGGCTTGGGTCTGGACAATCCCCACCGTATAGCGTATCATCCGCCGAGCAAGGTCTTTGCTGTCGCGTGCACGAGGACAGAACCGCGAAGAACGGGAGAGGCGAGACCGGAGCGCGGGGTGCTGAAACTGATAGACGATGCGACATTCGAAGGCATGTCTCTCCTTCTATATACTTTGCTAGCAGTCTTTTAACCTCGCTTACAGTCCTGGACGAATTCCAGTGCGACGCTGAGGAGCTGATATCCTCCCTGGATGTTTACGAGAGGGAGGACATCCAACAGCCGTGTTTCTGTGTCGGCACCGTCAATTCGCGAGATGAGAGGGAGCCGTCAAGCGGTCGTCTCCTTTTACTCTGCAGTGGTGCAGGACGGGATGGCATCTCGAGAGGCAGTCTATTCATCGCAGCATCTCTGCAAATCAAGGGCTGTGTTTATGCTATAACTAAGGTCAGCGACCTGGTGGCGGCAGCGGTTAACTCTGCGGTAGGTACCTTGGCATTAACTGTGTCGCATGTCCTGACGAGTTTATAGGTGGTGCTATACCGCCTGCAGAAGTCCAGTACAGGCATATTGACCTATGACTTCGCATATGTAAGCGAGTGGAATCACGATTACGTCTTGAACAGTATCGTACCTGGCTTGAATGGTCTGGTGATCTCGGACGCTCTCAGCTCAGTTTCCGTCCTGGATGTGAAAGACTCCAAGCTGCAGAGGCGTGCGAAGGATTACTCTCCGCTATGGCCCGTCGCTATACAGGCACTGGATGACCAAAGGATCATCGCAGCTAACGTGAGTGTATCCTGTCATAGGGAGATTATCTGATATAATGGTCATGCATAGGTGGATTGCGATCTGTGCACATTCTCCTTACAACTGGATCAAGGCCGCATTGTACTCCAGAAGGATGGCGCCTTCCATCTGGGCGAATTAGTGAACAAATTTGTGCGAGGTACTGAGGCAATTACTTATCTCTGCAGAGATATTTTCACACTCTTTACCAAGGTTCCCTAACGACGACAGAATTCTCCGGCGACATACCAATAGAACCGCGAGAAATCTTTTTCACGTCGTCTGGTCGCATTGGCATGGTATTCGAGATGGGAAGCGAACTCTCCCTACACATGTCAGGCTTAGAACGTAACATGGGCAATGTTTTGATCGGAGCTGGAGGGGTGGTCCACTCAGAGTATGTCCCCTTCCAGGCCTTATTCCCATTGACTCATGGTTTATGTTCTACAGTTGGCGAGCACCGACGGTTGCCAAGTCTCGTGTGGAGACACAGCAGCAGACGTCGTACGGCTTCTTGGATGGCGATTTCCTTGAACAATTCCTTTCTCTGGCACCCTCGTCCCTGCCAGCCAAGAGCATCCTTTCCGGTTCGATGGAGGCTGAGGCCTTGAAACTCCCATTTGTCGAGATACAGCATGTCCTGGAGAAATTGCACAGTATGCACTGAATTGTATTTGTATTGTCCACGATGTAGTATGCCACAAAATGTATATGTAGTATGTCTTACAAGACATGTCAATGAGGGTCGGCTTCATATAGCAATCCAATGAGTCAAGATAGACGATCTTCACGGCTGCAAAGATGAAACGAAAAACGAAAGTATCTGCGTTGGTGAGAGGGTATCAGAATCAATTACGACCGACTCGTGCTCCGCACTACCGCGTTGAGGCGCGAAGAAGAAACCGGATGTAAGGACGAGGTAACTGCCGAGATGCCTGATTAGCACTCAACCAATATGCATATCACACCACTAACCTGAGTATCAAAATGCTTCCGCGGTAGTAGTTGCTCTTCGCCTCAATATACGTATAGGTCAACAAGAAGATTGACAGGATGATGACGACAACATCCCAGCGAGGGAAAATCAATCTGAGGGTGGTATAGATGGGTATTGCATATAATGGGTCTGGATAGCGAAGCGCTTACGTGAAAGTGTTGGCAATGGTGCCCAGGGTGTCCGCGTTGTACCACGCGGAGAAGGCCACCATCGCAGGGATTTGGAGCAAACAAACTTGCAGGGCATACGCGGATCCGATCTCCATACTAGCGTGGGAGTGTTTTAAGGAGAGGCCAGCGCATACCAGAACATCAGCTTACCTGAGGGCGATGTTCCCGTTCATCGCAAAGGCCATCGCATTCATGAACTCCGTGGTATTCGGGACCAGTGCAAACAAGGTGACACCGAGGAACTTCTCATCAATGCCTGACCCTTCCAGAACAACGTCCACCACGCCGACCAAGAGTTCTGTAATTCAAATCAGCAACTGTCCGTTATAATATCTGACCTATAGGCCTTACCAGCTATGATGGAGTAGAGTGCGGTACAGGCCAAGAGAACGCTGGCACTGGTCGTCCGACTCCAGGAGGGGGCATCATGGCCACCATGTCCTCCACCGGCTTCTTCGCCATCGACGCCGGACATCCTCGCACGCATAGGCGACCGGGAACTTGTCTGCTGGTGTCTGAGAGCACTAACAGTAGCTACTGCGACGGCACGGGTGAAGTCGTCGGGCGTCATATTCTCCGGCAGGTGGGAAGGCTGCAGGCCGGTGTGCTTGATAGCCTGGTCCACGCTCTCGAGAATGGGTGCGATCCCGGCAGTCGGGACAGTCTGCGGGAGCGTGGCATACGAAACGCGACGACTGACGGACCCGCCGGGCTGGGTCTCGGCGGTATGGTCATGCACGCGAGGTACCGGTGTCTCACTGCGTGATGGAACAGTACTAGGAGCACGAGACGTCAAGTTGCTCGGCTTCCTACGGAGGGATTCCCGGTCACGTCCTGGGATTAACTTGTGGTATATCGAGAAACGGTTCTGTCCAGGGCCCGGTAGCTCAAGCGGATGGAGAAGCTGCTGGGGATTCTGCCAGATTTGAGAGGCGTGCGTGCGCAAAGAAAACCAAAGCCCTATGAGATACGACTACGGAATGATGGCATGGGTCAAGCTTTCAGCCGTTATCGACGAACGACACGGACTCACGAATAGCAGGACAGCGGCGCAGAAATACATAAGCGTCTTTACCGTCGACTGGTAGAACGGATCGCGGACGGGGTCCGGGTACTCGTAACGACAGTGCTGGCACTGCCAGGGTGCATTGGGTCCTGATGTATGCTCGGGGCAGCCAGTGCATATGAGTTTAAACTGCCAGTGTCACGAGATCAGATAAAAGCTGCGGGAGAAACGACGGAGACGACTCACGTTCCCATAGGTCTGGTAGAAGATGGTGGGCGTCAGCGTACCGATGATCGCCATGATCAACATCGTGCTGGTCACGCCGGCACTCTTCGCATTGAACTTCTGCTCCTTCCGCCTGATGGCCCCGCTGCACATACTCACTCCCGGCATGAGCAGCACGCCCGCCAGCAGACTGCCGACGATCGACCCCTCGACCAGGCGTCCCTTGCCCTCCGTAAGCGCGATCGAGTACAGGATGATCTCGATGATAGATCCGAACGTCGCATTGATCACCGCGCCCATGCCGATCGACGACTGCGCGGAGATGGAGGCGACGGCCATGCCGATGAAGTACGAGAGGGGTATGACGCTCATCAGGCTCAGGACGAATATCGCGCCGCGGGACGCGACGGCTGCTAGAAGGGCGGGGACATGTCTGCCTGCGTTCTGCCGGCGCTCGACGAGGGGCAGGAAGACGAAGCCGTCGAGGATGACGAAGAAGACGAGCGGGAGGAGGTTGATGAACATGATGTTGACCCCGCCCACGGTATACTTGTAGTATTTCCAGCCCATCGCACGGTATGTGCACAAGAGAACTCTGGAAGATGGCGAACCGGATGGTGCGGCTTGGCCCTCGGCCAATCTCGTAGGCTTGACGACGAACGAGGCTTGCTGGGGAGTGGTCGACCCGGCACTTTCACCTGTGGCTTCCGTGGGATGGTTGGGAGTTACGATGATGCTCGAGGGAGCAGCGCAGAATCGGATACTCGGAGCTTGGAAGAACATGTACTTGAGGAGGGTCCAGTTGAGCTTCGCCATCGGGATGGTGACGACGAGACCCCAGCATATAATGCACACAGCCAGCATAATGGGTGCAATGATGCAGACCAAGGCGAGCCAGAAACACGCCTTCCCCAGCCAGTGATCCAAAGCATTGCGTTTGACTGTACCGTACTCTGAGAGCGGCGTCGCGCCGTACGACTTGGCGGGCGGTGTCACTGTCTCTGGGGACTCTGGGATACCAAGGAGAGAAGTGTGCTCGGTCGGAGGGGGTGCCCATGATAAGGAGGTCGAGTTCTGCACATGAGCCGTCCTAGGCGTCACCGTGGAATGGATCACGGATGGACTGCCGTTCTCTGCATTACGACAATTCAAATAAACACAGTAGAATAGATAGGGTTGACGCACCATTCGTCGGCGTGCTCTCCTCATCTTCGGGGAGATCCAGCCCTTCCGGGTCACCCGCGACGTACTTGCCGAATGGCCAGAGGATATACCAACCGAGCCCAAAGACGAGAGACGAGTAACGCCTTCCGCCCTTGGGGACGATGTACAAGATCCCAGAGAGTACTAGGAACGCCAGAGCCATCCACCACCCGAAGAGGGCAGTCCATAGAATGTTCCCCGGCAGCAAGTGACGCTCAGCCTGAGCAGAGGGCACGGAATGGAGAGCTTGGTCGGCGTATCGGGTGACAGACCTGGACTTTTTGTACAGGGCGGGCTTCCATATGGGCAGGCCGAAGGGATGCTCGACGTTGATCAAGGACTGCCTGTCCCTGAGAGTGATGGGGTCCTCCTCCCGCTCCGTGTCCGCGTCGTCCTCGTCCTCGGCCTCATCAGCGCCCTGCTCGTCGACGTATGGAGACTTGCCACGGTCCCGGCTATGCTCCCGGTAATCCTCCTCGTCAGACCCCTCGTCCTCCTCGCTGAGCAAGCCTGCGTCTTCGTGGTGTGCCCTGACGGGCATGTGCGAGCTGCTGCTGACGCTGGTGCCCGTCCTGCGGCGGCCAGTCGAGCTGGCGGACATGCTGCGCGTCAAGCTGGGCTGTATGCGCCTGGAAGTGGGGGAGCTCGGGCGCGCCGAGGGCGTGAAATAGGAGGTGCCCTGGTTGTGGTGGGAGGGCGTGTCGGCGATGGACCAGGGCGTGCTGTAGCTGACGCTCCTGGTGGGACGGATGCGAGAGTCGGACGGGGACGCGGCGCCGCTGTCGGGCGCGTCTTCGGACATGGCGAGCTGCGTGCTGAGGCTGCTCGCGACGGATGGCTCAAGTCCTCGACGACCTGCAATGGGAACTACCGGCAACTCGGAATCAGCCGGCCTCCTATCATAAGTTGCCGGTATATATGTTACTAGCTATGCTACTGCTATTAGAAAATTAAAACTATAATACGTCGTCAGTACCTCAAGACCTGAGCAGCTTCTCCCGAATCTCCGCCGCCTTCAACTTGGCCCGCAAGTACTCCAGCCGCGCCTCGTACCGCGCCGTGACCTCCCCCCTGCGCCGCCGTATGTCGCCCAGCTCCTTCTCCATCGCGCGCAGCTCCGCGTCCTCGTCGCTGACTGCCCGCCTGGGGCGGCGATGCGCGTCCCCGCCGCTCGCGTCCGACCATGTCCGCGAGACGTCGCTCGCCCCGTCGCTCACGGACAGGAAGTGGCCGCCCGCTTCTTCCACCGGCGCTAGTCTCAGTTGACCGTTGCTCTTCGAAATGTGCACGACGGACTCTTTGCGGTGAACGTTCGGCAGTCCGGGCACAGGCGGCACGGGGCTGTGGCTCTGGCTCGCGAGGTTCGTCCCTCGGGATGAAACCGACGATAAGGAGCTCTTCCGCGTGATCGGTGCAGAGTGCGGGGCGGGGCCCGAGGTGGGGAGCATGCGCCCCGCTCTTCCTGATTTCATGGAACGGGGTCCTGACATCGTCGTGCCCACGGATCTCCCAGAATGCACGGACATGCCGTCGTTGTCGCTCCGTAAGCCAGACCTCCCCTCGGGCACGATCGTCCACTTCGATTGCAGGCTTTCGTTCAGCTCTCCGACGTCGTTGGGGTCGCCAGCGGTCAGGGAAGTCAGGGTGGGCACGCGTCGGTGCCGTTTCGTCAGGGTACTCAGCTCTAGCCCATTGAACGCGTCGAGCAGCCTTCTTCCCTCTGCCTCGACTTGCTCGATCTCGGCGCGGATATCTTTCGCCGAGTCCAGATGTTCGTCGTCAAACGTGCCGTCAACATCACCTAAGGAACGTCGAGGCTCCGTCATGGTCGATCGGCCAGGGAAAGAAGATGGTGGTGCGCCCCCGCCAAGACGCCTGTTACTCCGAGTGGCTGACCGAGATAGAGATGCGGATGAGGTCTGGCTTGGGTGCGGGGTGAAGGCGGTGATAGGCGAGCTTTCGCCATTCCGGCGGGACGCGATAGACCTCGAGTCAAACGGACCGCGAGAGCTCTCAGCCTGTAATGAAACCTGACTCCCATTACGATAGAAAGAACTCGCGAAGACTTTGCGACTGAGATTCCATGAAGAAGACTTGGAAGCATGAGAGAAGACGCTGGTGGTGTCGCTCTGATCGAAGGCAGGTGAGGACGCAGAACGTCGACCAGTAGCGCGTCGGAAGATGCTCGTCACGGTGGAGGAGACAGAAGTCTTGGACTGTATTGATGGGGCTCGGGACGACCCAGCGTATGAAGTCGTAGCAGTGCGACTATGGGCAGTGTCTAGGGCGGCGTGATTAGAACGAACAGGCAAGACATGCCGTGAAACGCACTTCGTGTATGATTCTGACCTGCATTGAGACGGATGACCGGGGCCTCGGTGGGCACGGCTGTCCCGCTCGAGAAGCGTTCAAAGAGATTCTGGCGCAGGAGGCGGTATTCATCGTCGCTGGATGATGGCAGGTCCCAATCTTAGACATGTCTCGCAACCCTCCGGACCAAACCAAACGAAGACTCACTCCAGCAGACCTTCCGAATTGGCGACGGAGAGCTCGTTCAGTCGCTGGGCGAGCGTCATCCTTCGGGCGGCGTCAGCGACGTGAGGCAGGACGATCGAAGGGGGTACGCACGTAAGGGCATCAGCGGAGGAACGGGTGCCAGATTTAGGAGGGCGAGGATCAGATGCGGGGGTATAAAGGGTATTTCTGTCTGTCGGCGGACGCGCGCGGACGGACTGCCTGAGGGCGGGTGCAGCGTCGTCGGGGGAAGGATTAGGAACGGCCTTTTCTTGCTGGGGATCTAGCTCGCGCGCCTTGCCCTTTCGCGAGCCATACTAGTAAATGACGGTCAGCGGAAATGAAGGCGGCAGCAGCGCGATGTACGTACGAATCGCGAGCGGATGACATGCGTGACAGACTTTGCCTCGGTGGATCGCTCGGACGGCTCAGTCCTGTTCGACGAGAAAAAGCCCATTGCTGCATGTGCTGCAGTCTAATAAATTACTGGTATATGTGAGGGACCTGGTATATCAAGAAAGAGAGCGTAGGCAACGGCGACGCCGAGTTTAGCAGCCAATCGTGTCCTCGGCCTGTATGCAACTTTGTTGACTGCGACGCGTCCAACAACCGTGCCACACCGCCCATCCTTCCCCACGACCTCCTCGCGTATCGCACCATTTCGCCCAGAAACATACTATAAAACCCCCGCTGCCTCTGTGGCCGCAAAATCCCTCCAGTCGGTACTCTCTCGACCGCAAAACACGCGACAATGGCTGTCGAAAAGCGCTCTTCCGACCTCAACCCGCGCACGACAAGCTACGAGTTCTTTGGGCCGCCCGGCGCGCTCTTCGTCACCGTTACCGTCCCTCTCACCGCATATGGCCTGTACTTTACGTGTTCAGAGGCAGCGGGCGGGTGCCCCCCTCCCTTCGACAACCTCTTCGTAGGCGCCGTGCGCGCCTACAATGATCTCTCATGGTGGAAGAACCTCTGGGACACCGAAGCCGCCCTCATCTACCTCGCCTGGTATCTATTCTGCGTGGCCGCCTGGTTTATCTTGCCGGGAGACTGGGTGGAAGGCACTCAGATGCGGAACGGTCGGAAGCTAAAGTACAAGATCAATGGTGTGTTTCGTCTCTGTCCTGTCGCACCCCAGCTCACGTCCCACTAGCCTTCTCCACGCTCCTGCTTACGCTCGGGGTCGCCTCTGGGTACGTCCTCCGCTACGGCCCCGAGTCGTTCACGTTCATCTACGACAAATGGCTCGGCTTTGTCACCGCCTCCCTGCTCATGTCCGTGCTGCAAGCCACCTACTGCTACGTCTCCTCCTTCTACGGCGACAAGCTCCTCGCTCTCGGCGGTAACAGCGGCAACTTCATCTACGACGTTTGTCCATCCTGTCATCCCATCCCGTAATCGTCTGACATCCCCGCAGTTCTTCATCGGCCGCGAGCTGAACCCCAGGATCGGCTCGTTCGACATCAAGTCCTTCAACGAGCTCCGGCCCGGGCTCATCCTCTGGGTGCTCATCGACATCAGCATGGCCTGCGAGCAAGCCGTGCGCAGGGGAGGTAGCCTGCTGAATATCACGGATTCGATGTGGCTCGTCCTCGCCTTCCACTCCTTCTACGTCATCGACTCGCTGTACAACGAGGTGCGCATGCCCCATTTTTTACTATCTTTCAGCATAGGACTTCACGCGTTCCAATAGCCTGCCATCCTCACCACGATGGATATCACGACGGATGGCTTCGGCTTCATGCTCGCGGTCGGCGACCTCACCTGGGTGCCCTTCACCTACTCCCTGCAGGCGCGCTACCTCGCCTTCCAGCAAGTCGAGCTCGGCCCTATCTGGACAGCCGCCATCATCGCTGTGAACGGCCTTGGCTATTGGATCTTCAGGGACTCGAACGGCGAGAAGAATGACTTCCGGAACGGGCAGAACCCCAAAAGTATGTGCGGTTCCGCTTGATGGCGCTGCAGTCGCGGTTAATTCCATCTTCCTGTTAGATCTGAAGTACTTCGAGACGAAGCGGGGTACGAAGCTACTCACCTCCGGCTGGTGGGGATTATCTAGGCACCCCAACTACTTGTATGTCTCCGTATTATGAGTATGCGCTGCTAATCACGCATCTTCCGACGACAGGGGTGACTGGCTGATGGCTGTAGCATGGTGTTTACCGACGGGCTTTGATACACCCATCACCTACTTCTATCCGGTGTACTTTGCCGTCCTGCTCATCCACAGGCAACAACGTGACGACGAAAACTGCGAGAAAAAGTCAGTTTACCCATGTTATAATTGTGCCTAGTTGCTGACGATTCTCTAGGTATGGCGAAGATTGGCACAAGTACAAGGAGATGGTGCCATACCGTATTATTCCCTATGTCTACTAGGGGACTGTCATTTCCTTATGTGCTAGTGGCTTGGGCTGTTGTCTTATATACAGTGTGTTCTGTGACTTGCAAGAATCACCTGGACCCTCAACTAGGCTGTGATGTTGAAACAGAGATTGAGAGGCTGACATGCTCACGTGACTGGGATATCGGGCTAATATGCAGGCTCCTATTAGTATAAAGCTGTAAGGCCGTGCGGGCACGGCAGAGCCCGCTACCGTAGAGATACTTAGAATTAACAGCAACCTAAGCATTTGTGCTTCACTCTTTTCCAGGTATTTTGTCTGCCCGGATGCCCAGGATGGTGGTAAGTACTCTATTCATGACTATTATTCGTGACCCCATTTACAGTGATTCACCACCACTTGGGACACCACATACATTTGTATTTTTAATCTCCTTTCTGCAACCCTCCCATGCAAACTAAGCTGGTACATATGTTCGACACTGAGTTATGGCCCTTGTATAAATTTATTAGGTCGAGAGGGCCAGTTAGGGTTGCCTGATAAGTTGCACCAAAACTCGCCTACAGGCCTGTTCCGGCAGGAGGTTCCGAGAAGCTCAGAGATGGAGACTGCTGAGCATCATCATGATGTCGCCTGAGATTTCCCGGATGTCGCTGTAACATAAAAACGGACAATAGATTTGAGCTCAGAACATGGTGATGTCAAATGAGCCTCAGTCCGAGGTCCCTGGGACAGCGGGACATGCGGGATTTCCGGCACATTACTGCTGCAGCTGTTGCACCGTGAATTTTGCTCAAATTGCTGAATGCAGTTCTCAATATGCACGGAAGAAGGGAAAAACAATTCTCTGCATGTACATTACCTGTCAGTAGAGGGCCATTGCTATGCATGGCAGGACACGAGACCTGAGTTGTGTCTGATAAATGATAGCATTGGGTGTATAAATGTTCCAATTGATGTATACAGTACTCTTTCTTATGCATATATCATAAGCCCTTAGATCTGTATGTGCAATGTCCCCTTCATTCATACTTTGTCCTCCTGTGGCCCTGCCATCATTATACCATAAAAGTCCCTGCCACTCTGACAGATTAAAAGTTGGTATTGGTGGCTACAGAATTGTATTTGTACCCAGCCCAGGGGATAGTAGCAGCTGCACTACTAGACACAAGTAACATAGATCAAAGTGCTCCTCTGCTGCCAATCAAATATTGGCGGCTCTGTCACACAGGTCATTTGTCCCCAGTGGAAGAGCCAGTGAATAATACCTGCAGACTCCAGGTAACATCCTGCCAGAACCAGAGTGCTCCTCCACTGCCAATCTTCAATTGGCAGCTCCCTCGCACTCATTTTTCCTGAACCAAGCTGAAGGACAGTCATCGGAAAGGATACTCAAAGAGTACCCCAAGAAGCTGGGAGCAGAAACAAAATATATATTACACATGTACTAGTTTCAGTTTCTCAAGGGGGCATATAGAGACCACTGAGCAGGAGAAACCATACATAATATCTTCCTGCAAATACTCACTGGTACCTCGGGTGTCTGCCGGCTGGGTGAACTCACCATCCTGGCCCCTGATGCTTTTGACTCTCATCGCCACATCGCTCGCTCTGTCGAGATTCGCTGGGTCACCTGATGCTGTAGTAGTATTACATTAAACCTGGACAACACTCGTGTGCTCCTTTACAATGTTTCGGGACAATTGTCCAGGCCTAATGTAATGGGATTTCAGGCGGCAGGCCTGCCATGAGCCAGGCTGAGCTTGAATGGCCTGCCCCGGCATCCCGGCAGGCAGGCAGGGATCGGGGCTAGATCTGGTGCCCCGGGAATAGCCTGGGGGGCTAAGAATAGGCTGGCTGATCATCCAAGCACCTGGGTGGCTCCAAAAAATGCGCAATAATTCGGATAAAATCAGAATATATTCGTGGGACCCGGACTCCACATATTAGTGCCATACATAGCTGATGAGTACATATAGACCATGGCAGAATGCAGCTTGGCAGCCCATAGAAAATCAAAAGAAATGCGGAAAAATACAGAGACATTCACGGCTACTGCCAATAGTTCCTGTGCACTAATGGCATCACTATATTACATAACACACTTCCAAATGTGGCAAGATGTGGTGTGGTACACTGCTGGAACCCAAATTTTATGCTCTTTCTGGCTCTGTGGTCCATTTATCCTTATTCTTCTTTGTTCTAGCTCCTATTTTACCTTGACCCAGGCAATGTATGGAGGGGGGAGTATGTGGCAGTGATCCATAGAGCCTAGTGGCTATCCATTGCTGTAAAAATATTTTTTCTAACACCGACTCATTGACCTGACCGGTG